CCTTAAATACAAAGATTAAGAGTAGAAGAATAAAAATAAAAAGATTAAAAATAGAAAATATCTTAATTTAAGAAGAATTCGAGATTTTTACATTTAACGTTGATTAATATTGCATTGCATTGACGTTTGTTAAAGTTGCTTTGAAATATATATGGAAATCGGATGAATAGAGCTTCACTTGATACGATGTTTAAAATAGTTAAATGCAAGTTTTTTTGCATTAATTAAAAATTTTTGTGTGACGAAGTCCTTAAGATCTTACATACAATTAAAAACTAAAGCAAACAGATGGTATTCACTTAAAAAGAAAAAATAACAGGAGGATATTTAGTACTATTTTCTCCCTTTAGGATAAATCCGTCAAAGTAACAAAAAAAAAAGGATTCAAAGTATGCCATTGTAAGAGTTATTGGTAGTTTATTTCTCACGATATTTATGATTGTTGCTTTTTGGAAAAAAATATCGAAGACAAAAAAGTTTTTGAAAACTTCGAAATATTTTAAAGAGGATTTAAAAAGTTATTTATTCGGATTGTGACTCACAAAAAGTTCAATATTATTTATTATTATGTGATATTTTCTGTGCAGATTTTTAACAAGTCTTTTATAATCTAATCTTTTCTTCCGAAAGAAATGAATGAATATAAGAAATGAATAAGCATTAAACCTTCTTTTCACAATTTTTGTAAAAAAGATGCAAAATGCTTTTATTTGATTCAGCTTTTCTTATAAGTTTTTTAATAAGTTTTTTATCGTTTTTAAATATTTCTAAGAACGATTTATAATGAAAATAGACTAACAGTTTTACAAGGAAAACAGATAGTTTTACAATTGATAATTTTACAAGGAAAACTTCATAATGCACATTTTGATTTCGCAACGTGGGATAGAAACGTCACACGACACCGTGACGCCTTTTCAGAAATATTCTTTCTCCCTGTGTGTTGCGACATTGATGTTCAAAGGACTATCCCCCTGTTCGGCGTGTGTTTAAGACGCTAAAAAGCACGTGTGTACGACAGACAATTATGGGACCAGCTACGATGAGGACGGCGCGACTTAAGACCACACGAAGACTCACACACATCAGCTCGATACTCGGGCGAACGGGCCCCTTTCACAATGGCTGACTTCGTAAGGCAAAAATCAGAAAGTTAGGGCCCCGACCGTACTATGTCTCGGCTGCTAGAGGAGAGAGGGATGATCGAGCGAGCGAGTTCTTGAGGGATGCGCAGCTGTCATGAGAAGTGCAGCGATTGGCCGCTACCATCAGTCGGCCATGTTGGATTTTTCCGGTCTGGCTTCTCCTCACAATGGTATCACGGGCTTGAAACAGGGTCAGTAGCTTTGCTAAAGATCAGGGTCGCCCAATAAAATCTCACATCGTTCCTGTACCCGCGAGCGTTTCGCTATTCATTGTTCGACTGACAACATCGCTCAACCCAATGAAGTTGCTGAGATCAATGTCGAGTCAACCGTGCGTGGATTTATCTCTTAATAAATAAAAATACGATCCTGAAAAGATTATTGAGAAGCTATGAGAATCGTTTATATTTTATAATTTTAAATATGAAAAATATTCTACATAAAGAAAAACGAATGAGTTACATATTTTGCACACACGGTACGAAAATCTGTCATGCCTGGCAGTATCCTTGACTGTTTGCTGGTGACACGTAGAATATTTCGTGGGACGAGTGCGTCTGTTATAACAAACAGAAACGCGGCGTGTCTCTGTTATTGAAATAAATCCCGTCATAATCATCGCTAACGCACTTTTGAAGGGAATCTGGAGTAAACCGATAGTAGCGGGAGAAAGTGGTCGAGAGAGGCGAAGTGAGAAAGAGAGAGGGTTGATGGGGACACGTTTACGATTGTCGGCCGCGTGCCGCCACCCTAAGGATTAAGCGCAATTATTGGAATCACTCCGGCAGACCACAACCCGTTTCACACGCTCCTTATATTCTTTCAAGCCGTTACGAAAGTTTACTCCGTTCGTGATATTTCGAGAGGAACAAATCGATTTGTATAAAACTTTTTTAAAATTATATCTCTTGTATTATTTGCAAAATTGATAATAAATTCCAATTAAATTCCACATCAGTGTTGAAAACTATTAAAATTGGGTTGAGATTTTAAATCTCTTTGAAAACCAAGAAATATTAAAAAATATGATGCAATGATAATTTTGTTTAATATTGCATAAAATGATTCCGTAATAAATATCTAAAATATAAATCGCACTTATACATTTCAACTATCTCTTTTTTTTATATTTTTATATATTTATTGTCATTTTAGAAAAATATCTATTATATATATTTATGTCTTATAAAAAGTCTGTATATCTTTTGAAAATATTGATCTTTCTCTTGGGAAAGAATAATTAAAATATTTATATACGAACATGCGGAAATATGCGGTTCAACGAATTGCAATAAAGTGTCTAATATATACCGAGATAATATTAATTGCTCTTTGCCTACTGCAATTTGCAACGTGTCGAATGTACAGGATGTTGTCAATATTTTTCTTATACTCTTTTTAGATATTAAATTATAAGGCAATCATATGTTTTAATGCTGCTAGATATTTGAAAAATTGTCAAATGTGAAAATTTTATTGAAATTTCTTTAAATTAAATAATATTCAAATTTTAAATGGTCATCTCGCAAAAAATTCTTCATATTTATCTGCTTATTTAAAGTCTTAATTTTATGTCAATAAAGAAACATCAATTCAAATTGATCGAAGAAATCATAAATAATTAAAAGTATGAGGAACTTTCGACGTATCATAGACTTCGCATTGCATAATCGAAATTACTTAACTAAAATATTTCTGGTCATGAAAGTCAATCTCCTCTCTCTTTTTCCACATGTTATCTCGATGAAAGAAACGTGACACCCAATGGCGCGATTGCAAAATCTACAGGTAAAACACGTGGTAAAACATTTTTGCGAATCAGGATACGTATCTACACCTTATTAGTCTTGTAATTAGCTGCACAAAAGGCATGCGAAGAAAATTACGCTCTAGTCAATCTATCTACAGAATGAATTGCTAGGCATTGCATTTAATCTCGACCACATTTCGCAAGCTGGTTCTATTAAAGCATATCGTATAACACTTTTTTTCTACACAACTCACCGACGTTTTTGTGCTTTTGAATATTAAACACCAGAGAATTTCTCTGGAGGAAACAAAGCGAAGATCCTCGCTTTTTGAATATATTTCACTTTATATACATATAATATTCATATATACATATTCATATTCTTTTAATATTGAGATTTATTTTATTCATACATACATATTCTATCAGGATACGATGTTATATTATACATATAATAATTTTATATAATATAATATAATATAATAATATAATATACGATATTATATTATATATAATGTATTATGTAATAAAGTTAATGATTTGTAAAATTACGTTAAGAAAATAAGAGCATATGTAAAATAAATGCATGACATTATCCTTTTACTTTTACTGTTAACTACAGTAAAATAAAAAGATAAACCATTACTAATAAATGTATGAGCTAAGAGATATAAAAAGTATATATTACTGTATTATAAAACTAAACTTACAACGTAAATTACATGAAAAGTAGACATTTGAAGAATATCCCTCAGATTGTTAAACTCGATCGTGCAGCTTCGCTGATGAATCGTCAATGTTTAGACGCATTCCACGTGCGCGCGCGTACACGTGGTGTTGCAGCGCTAACCGCTCATCACCCCTTTTTGGATGCGGCTTGGGTTTTGGCTTGCTATAACTCCGATAATTATGTTACCAATGCGTCGAAGGACAAAGAGCTCTCGAACGACGTGGATGGCCCGCTTGCTCGCGAGCGGGAGCTCGAGAAAAGAGATGGTTGCCTGGTAGCCCAGCTGCCGGTAATCCTCCCTTTGTAATTTGCCTCTATGACCCACCCTCCCCCCCTCTTCAGTGGCGTCGATTTTTTTCGACAATAGAACTTTTCCAACAATCACGCGTTTTCCAACAATCTCCTTTAACGATTTCATCGACGTTTTCAGCACACAATTCTAATCCATTATACTCTTACTATCAAATTCGATTGAATATCGATAAATAAATTAAAATGTTATAAAAAGATAGAGATTATAAACTTATATTAAGCCTATTATTCAAATAGATTATATAATCATGATATAAATGTTCAAATAATCACATGTTTTCTCTCCCTTTCTCTCTTTACAATACACAATAGACAAGATAAAAATATTCTGAATTAAATGAACAGAGTCTAAACTAACTAAAATTTTCCTCTCTCTATAAGGGTAGATTCTCTCTACGAGACAAATCAACGAATGTTCGATTCGCAAATGGTCTACGCCAATGATGAGCGGTTGATGTCACCGTGGCTGTGCCCTCCGGATAATAGAGTCCGCGACTTTAATGGACTCGCTAATCCTCTTCCCTGTTTGTCGGCGAGGGGATACGCATTCACGGCATGCACGTAGGTAAGAATCGGCGAGAGGGGGGCCAGGGCGGGATGGTGTGACTGCGGTGCGTGTGCTCCTCTCTGGGGTGCGCGAAGTGAAGACTTGCATTCGCTCGTCGTGCGGGCCGTCACGGCGGCGAGAAGGGGGTGACGCACAAGGGGGTGATCTCTCTCCTGTCCTGCCGGAGTGGTGACGTGCAGATACGCCCCTTGTGCGGAACCATCGGTGCGATGATACCCTCGGATTTTTCGGCCGAGCTATGCCGCGCGTTATGAGTACGAGAGTGTGCCTTAACTGCATTTGTCGATAGAAATATGTTGTCGACAGATTTATTCATTCATTGGAAAAGATTCGGTTTCAACAAATGCGATGGTTGCCTCGAAAGTTCGAGCCGATAGATCCGCAGAGGATGATAAAAGGGTGCATAATTAAGCGACAAGCGCGCGTCCCTAATTTGACATAAACGATGTAGTTCAAGTTTTAAAGAGCAATTTCGAAGAATAATAAAACGATTCGTTATGTAATGTTTAAGTCGAGAAAATCGAGTGATATTTATTTTTGTGCAGATTTTTTTCTCTACAATGTTTTTCACATAATGTATATTCTAATTTATATAAATCGATTTATGAAAATATCAATGCAAATAAAATGATGTGGAATGAAAAAACATGACCATTCAAGAAATCGTTAATAGAGATGAATAGGATACGAAGTAATAATTTCTTTACAGAGATAATTGTCTCTCTCTATTTTCCTAGAAAGATTTAAAAAACTGATAAATTTATATTTAATCTATCTCTCTCAATTTAACACATACATTTATAAAAAATATTTACGAAGGCAAATAACAAACTGCAAAGTATGTATCCTCGCCTTTCTGTCTGATTACGAATATTGATTGTGAATTGAACGTTGATTATGAATGAAATGAAGAAATGATGTGATTTTATGGAAGTGTAACGATATCAATTGATATCGTTGCTTTGATACCTTATCTGAGATAATCGATTATCCGTGCTGTTGTCCCTTCGGAATCGAGTTAGGTAAGTTCTGCTGAATCTGCACAAGCTGCTGAAGTTCCGGTGGTAGATTCCTGGAGTATTGATAATTAGGCTCGGCGACTTGCTGTTGCGGCTTTGGCTGCGGTGCATAATTAGTGCGATATTGAGGATTGTATTGTTGTTGAACGGGGGCTGGTTGAGGATTGTATTGCTGTTGAATGGGGGCTGGTTGAGGATTGTATTGCTGTTGAGCTGAAGGCGGTGGATTGTACTTGGCCGGTTGTACGGGAATCTGCTTGTAAGTCGGCTGCTGAGGTTGTTGGCCGATCTGTACTTTCGGCCGATACTGAGTCAGGTCAGTTTGTTTTATATATTGAGGCTGGATGGGTTGGGAAGGTCCCAGATTCGGTATCGGCTGCGGAGGAAGATGTACGATCGGATCGCGAGCCTGCTGGGCCGCTAATATTTGCTTGATCGCCGCCGGCGCTTGATTGTAACCTAGATAATTAGGTTGTGCATGATTTTGTCTCCGTTCCCGGATATGGCCTGAAAATAAAATTTTTTCTGTACACTATTGTTATAAATTGTTACGTTATTTAATAATTCGATAAAATAAAAGATATTTCTGAAACACAAAAAAAAGAATATTCTTGAGAAAGTTTACAAAATTACTTACTATGGAATTTTGTTCCTAGCGCCGGCGTTATGACGAGGATCAAAAACTAAAAAATGATAGAAAAATCTATTAAAAATCATACTATTTAATCATACAACAATAATGTTTCTATCTTTTAATACGAAGAAATGCATTTTTTTACATAAATTTCTCAAAATCGGAAGAGAAAGTGTACGTGATTTTTTATTCATACTTCTATATATAAAATAAGATAAGTATTACAAAGTAATCTTAGAAAGCTGAAATATATCTTGATTTGCAATGCAAGTAAAATTTTTTATATTTATTGATATTTAATATCGATTATTAATGCATTGATGTCATGTTTTATATCGCGAGATATGAATCGTGTTTTAAGTGATACTAAGTTTAGCTTGGATCGCTACATATGTAAATCAGTTAAATTTAATTCATCATAAAGAAATGATCATAAAGAAATGCAAATGTAGAGTTTTTCAAGCGTGACAAAGTGACTAGGTCGATATAATCATAAGATTCCATGTAATGATAAATTAAATATTCTCTTTGATATTAAATGAGAAATAAAGACTATCAATCTTATAATAAAATTTTTAAATTTACGTGAATAATTTTTATGTACGTGATTTCAGACAATAAGTGAAGTTTAATATTCCGATTTTTTCTAAATAAAAATAATATCAATTCACAATCAATTCAAGAAAGTAATTCTCTTGAATTAAGGAGATTGTGAAGAAAAATTACATTTTGAAATATTAAATGAAAAGAATTTAATGTACTTCACGTTACAACTATTACTTTTATATCTACAATGATTTAATATATGTTAGCATTTTTACAAGAAAAAGAAAAAACGTACAAATTCTATCAAATTTTTCTATTCAGAGATAAATACTCATAGCGCGAGATTTTTTACTCCGCGATAAATAACCGTTATCGATCTTTTATTTCTTCCTCAATTACGTATATATAATAAAATCACGATGATCGAGATTTAAAAGCAAAAAGAGAGCACTCGCACTGACATTTCACGGAACGATTTTAATCGCACTTTCTCCCCGCGTATCGTACCGCAAAATTCCGCAAAGCTTTAGGATAACGAGTGTGCAAGAGGGACTTACGAGGAATCTCATGATGCTGAACGATATCCGGAGGGCAGCAAGACAAAACTGACGTCCGCGTCGCGACGCACTTCTATATGGGCCGAGCCGCGTCGTCGCGTCCACCACCAGCTTTCACGGCTGGTCGGCTTTCGAGCGATTTTTTCTGCGTACAGGTCCCCCGCCTGCCGTCACGTAACCAGATGCAACGAACCAACGCGCCCCGGTGCTATACTAACGTTGCGGCGAGCCAGGAAGTGACCGGACGGTGAGGTGGCAGCAGAAAAGTTGGAGCATGGGAGAGCGCGCTATATCTATTTCTCGACGAAGAATCATAGGATAAAAATTTTCTCTCGCTCCAACTTTAGTTTACAATTAAATTAAAAAATCCGAAAAATAAAGTGTGAATATTATAATAAAACAATAATTTGAGAGATATTTAAAAGAAAAATCAGGAGGACATGGCAAAGTTAGTAATAAAAAAAAGAAAATAAATAATTGATTTAATGAAAAATTTTGAGATAAAAGCAATCTCAGATTTTCGACTTCTATTACACATCAAATGAAAAATATATCTCGCAAATAACAAGCACACACATAGTGCAAATCCTTTTTCTTCGTATGAAATTTAATATTCTAGATATTTATGTAATTCTGCACATATTACTATGCATTGATTACGGCGATAGCATTACGTGAAAGTGGTTCGACCGTGTCACTTTTCTCTACGTTTTCCTTACAACTGTACTACCAAACATCAAATTTTACAAATTCGCTGCCTATCTCGATAGATGTTGCGTCAACTATTATTTTCGAATCACGTGAAAGTTGTTCGTCTCTCTATAGTTATAGTTACATGCCATATATAGTTGTATATCAGTACCACTTTTTTTATTTAATGAGATTCTTATATCTAAATTTCACCGATATAATCATGTCATTAACGATGTTATGTCTAAAGAAAGTTTGAAAGTTTTACTCTTCAGCATTCGATATATTTAGCTGTTTTCCAGGATATTTAATCCACGATTTTTTGCTTCTTTCCAATTAATGAACAATAATAATCATCTTTCTCTTAACGACTACCATGTTTTAGTTTCCGGAGAACACAATTATGATATTCGTGCGTCGTAATATATACTTTTCTGCGTGTAATAAAATACTCAGAACGTTATTTTTTTCGAAAACTATTAATACTACTTCAAGTTATACTTGAAGACTTATCGCGAGTCTATCGGTTGTTCGTGGACTCGCGATAGAAACGTGGCATTTCGCGTGTTCGATAAATGTGGAGGTGCATGTTAATAGATATCGACTTCATAGGAAAGGATAATGCGGGTACATATATATATATATACATCGTATCTAGTCACGTAACGATCTTGATACAAGAAAAGCACATTGCTTCCGTATTCCACAAGTTATAAATCGAGCACCATCGAAATATATGTAGGATAACACAGCAGCACGCTATATAAATTTTGATGAAGATACTAAGAAAGAAAAAAAGAGAAAGAATAATATATAGCCACTGCAAATATTTAAATTAATGCAAAACAAAGAGAGAGAAATATCATTAATATTTCAATAATAAAATTAACATATATCTGTCATCATAGACTTTCTGCTGGAAATTTCTCGGAATATATCAAGCCTTGCTATTTTGTGAAAGATCAAGATCATTAAAGGATACTATATTTAACATTTCGCAAAAATGTCACGTAATAATTAATAAATGAGTGTGATCTTGTGTAGTGAAAACGGCTTCGTTCGTGATTATTAGCTATCGTGATTTTATCGAGCATATATGTATATATGCAAGCATATATGCCACACGATTGCGTAAAGAATTCTGCATTCCAATATACTTTCAATATTCGTTGCAATTTCTTAAGTTTTCCGCTATATTTAGCAAAGCTATTCTTGATCGAACGCGTAATAAATTCGATTCATTTAAATTCAGCTGATTGTTAATGATTGGAAAATTACATGACTATGTAAAATCATGGGATAGGCTAAATAATTTCTTGAATTCAATGTGTGTGTATTGATTTTTACTATTTAAAATTTATTAAATGGAGATTTTATACTATTTAATATTGAATATATTAAAATAAATGGAGAAAAATTTATATTTTAAATTAAATGTAATCATATTTAAATTAATACGATCTGAGATTTAATATCTTTAAAAATAATAATCTTCAATTTATTAATGAATAAATTTCTCCAATTGATAATTTTAATAAATTGGTGAGTTGAAAATCGAAGAAAGTATTTTGGGAAAAAAGTATATCCGTAAATATTTTATTCAAAAACATGAAAAAAACATGTATAATCTCTTATAATATATCTGTATTTCACACGTACATACTTATACATGTATCAGAATTTGTATCAGTACATTGATGCATTCATGTGCAACGATTAGCTTTGCCATTGCACTTTCCTTTCGTTTTACAAGAATCACGAAAAAAAGATTCATTCTTGAACATGCTATGTCTCGGCCTCGATATGTCGAGATTTCCGATCGCATACGGTAAGAATATACTTTCTTAAGTACAGGTTCATGGAATATTAAAGGCCGCAATAGAACGCTTTCGCACATTATTTTTTATGAGTTGAATAAAGATATAATAATCTTAATATTTCTCTCAAAATCTCATATTTCAGTAAACGTAAAAAAATAAAAAAAACAATGAACATTTATTTATTTTATGTAGTATCAAACTTGAACGATAATAACTAAGATTCTTTACATTAATAATCGCATGTGTCAAGCATAGATATCTATTATTATAACAATTATTTCATTAAATAAATCATTTCTCCTTTACGATTTTACGCCTTTATTCTAGCAAGATTAAGAAAAAAATTTTTTAGAATAAATAAAAAATATTAGTTCCCATTCAATCATTTGTTGCATAACTTTTTCTTTATAATTCTTTTCAAACTAACAAATGCATTTCCGAAATAAAAATAATTTTTTGCTCTACTTCAAAATTGATTTAAAAAATCTCTTCTGCCAATAATTATAAATAATTATAAACTTCAGATATATAGTTTGCATTACAAATTACAATTCGGTCTCCTACTAGAATTGAGTTTCCACTTCTCTCCAATAAAAACAAAATAATCACCGTATGCAGCCGATGAATCAGTACTGATTCTCGGTAACGGGTCGTACGCCAGGCTGTGGTTGATTATATCCGGCCTGCTGATATTGTTGGCCCGGATTATACGCGGGTATCTGAGCCTGCGTGTATGAACTAGCCTGAGTTTGATAAGCGCCACCCTGAGTCTGATAAGCGCCACCCTGAGTCTGATAGGCGCCACCCTGACCTTGATACTGCGCTTGTTGTACCTGCGGTTGCTGTTGCGGTTGCTGTGGCGGATCCACAGGATGCGGCACATATGGTTTATCCGGACGGTACGTGATCTGATTGGCGATGATATTGTACGGTATCTGTGCCTGGTACTTAAGTAATTCCTGTAGATGAGGTGGCAGATTGGTCGAATATTGCGGCTGCGGTTCCGCCGGCGGCTGGGATATCCTGTTGTACTGCTGCTGTTGTTGAGGATGCGTTTGACGTTTGCTTCTTGTTTGAGGGCGCGGAGACTTTCGTCGCTCCGGTGCATATGTGGGCGCTGGTTCCGGTGGAGGTGCGGGTTTAGCCGCAGCTTCCTGGGCTAATTGCCGGAGATGTTCTCGGACTTGCTCGGACTGAGCCCGTACCGCGGCTGCCTCGTCGAATCTATAAATCGATCGATGATTGGAATTATGTCGATCTCGGTTTGCCTCTTATATTTGCGCATATATCTTACAGATATCTTTATAAAAATAGAAAATATACGTGATACTTAATTAATTGAATATTATTAAAAATAGATTCAGTATTTATTGATTAAAAATATGAATATAAATAGATAATTAAATATCATCATTGCTTGGTACCTGTATGGTTCCGGAATTACGTTGATGTATGGAATCTGCTGTTGGAACTGCAGCAGTTGCTGAATTTGTTGTGGTGCATTGGAATAAGGTCTGTAGTGTGGAGCGACCTCCGCTTGCGGCTGCGGCTGCGGTTGCGGTTGCGGCTGCGGTGGCGATTGTGGCCGATGTGCTCGTTGTCGATGTTGAATTGGTGCAGCGGCTTGCGTTACATACGATTCCTCCTGCGCTTGCGGACGTGATTGACGATCGTATGATCTCCAGTTTACTCTGTAACCTTTCGATACATATTTATGTCAGATTAATTTTGTTACGCATATATGAGATAACATGGTAAAGCTATTACTATACCACTAGGATCGTTGTATTGGAGCGCCTTAGCGTTAGCTTGATTAGCATCGTAAGGTCCTTGAATTAGAGACTGGCTGTGTCCATCGGTCGCCCCTTGTATTGAAGAAGGTTGTATATAGGTAGCCGCTCCACCGTCCGTGGGTCCTTGAATTTCAAAGTTCGAATGCCCATCCGTAGCACCTTGAATCTGAAAATTGCTGTTACCGTCGGTCGCCCCTTGAATAGTGAAGTCTCCAGGACCTCCTCCTTCTAAAATCGAAAACACGCAAAAACATTGTATAGAAAACACACATGAACATAAAGGAATTCTAAATCTATATATTTATATATCTCGTAAATATTTATTGAAAAGAATATGCTCTTTTTGAAAATTAAATAAGATTTTTAATTACAGTATAATTACAGTATAATTTCGAAGTTATTATTAGGATGTCTTCAAATGAGATAAATAATTTAAAAAATGAAAAAATAATAAATAATAATAAACTTTTGTTTCGGATTAAGAATCATCAAAATTCACGAATTTTCGAAATCCGTTAAAATACAAAGACAGGTATAAATTTTTCCGTATATTTTCCGCTTCTCGTTCGTCGTTTAGAGATCGTTTATCTGCGCTTACCGCTTGCATCTGTGTATTCAATTCCTTTCTCCTCACTGAACTTAAGACCCTGAGCCCGTCGATGCCCGTCACTAGGCCCCTGGATTGTGAATTCAGCCAGGCACATAGGAAGTGCCATCCATAATAAAATCTATAACATTGATTTTAATACTAATTTAGTATACATTTTATTATAATATAACAAAATATTGTCATCACAATTTATGCAAGACAAAAAAAAATTATTGCCATAAGTGATATAATAGTTTAAATATTGTGCACATAAAGAAGAAAATAATTAATTAGACAAAAAAATAAATAAAATCACATTCATGAATTAAAACTTAACAATTTCTATAGTTGTATTAATAGCAATAATATTATATTCGATGATCATTTTTCTCGTTATTATATTAATTCAACCACAATAAAGCAAATGAATGTACAATTCAAACATCTACATTGCTCTCGATAATAAGCGTGCTCGCTGATTTCATAATCAGATAAATCAACGATCATTATCTAACGTGTAGCACTAAGTCTACCTATCTGGCGACGTGTACTATATTGCCTATATGGAAGTGTAGCGAGCAAACGGGAAGCTGGAAGCGAAAGTCAGCGAGTGCATGAATCTTTAATTAGCCGGTAGTCGCGGGAAAAGGCGAGCACGTTTAACGTACGCAATCGCAAGACAGAAAAACAGATGGAAAAAAAGTGTGAGTTGTAAGACAACGTGAAAGATCGAATGTAATGGTTCACAGAAAGTGAGATATGTTTTATATATACGTAAAATCGCCCAGGGAAGATGACATAATTATTTAGGAAACCAGTTCCTATTAAATTAAATTCACTTGGAAATATTTTCGCGTACAACCGGTACTGCCAAACGGGAAATACCATTCTAGAATTATACGTGTAATGAATGCTACGCGCGAGTTTTATTTCACGGAACGCGGAACCTTCGAACGATATTTCGCGAGGCACGAATCGTGATATGCATGCTGGTTATTGAGGTCTGCGAGTTTTCTCGTTTAAGTAAGAAACTCGTAGAAAAATAAGTCATTTTTAAATGTATAATAATGTTAATAAAAAAGAATTATACAAAAAGATATATAATTCTTAGAAACGAATAATAAAGAGGCAAATATCTGAAATTATATAGAAAAATGAAGCAAATAAAACGAATTACTTTTCATGTTGGAATTTTGCTTGAGCTTGCAATAAGATTTCGAAATTTTTATTGCTCGTATCCGCCGAGCAGATATTGCTCCAATTGATAATTGGCTCGCGAAATGTATTCTTGACTGCAGCAATTAAGCGGCATTTCGAATCGTCGCCTTGCAACACCAGACGATGTAATTAAGTGAACGATATTCGTCATTTCCTTATACGCTTGTTTCCTTTCAATGTAAAACCTTTAATTAAACCAATGATTTTCTATTTTTATGTTGCGTTGTACAAATGAAATTTTAAAAGAATATATTTCATTTTCGCTCTCTAATTTTCGTTCTCGATACAAAAATGATGAATGAGTGAAATGAATAAAATGACATTTCAATAAAAAATTAAAGAATTTTATTATTGAGAAATTTCGTTTTAATAGTACAATATTATTAAAGAAATTTGAATATAATTTTATTCTGCAAAGAAAAATTCATAATGCTATGAAATTATTAGTATTTATTAAAAATAAGGATTATAAGCCGACAGAATAAAATAGAAAATACGCGAAAAATGCAAAAGAGGAGATAAAGTAAGAAGGTGTGTAAATCAAAATCATCATTCAATTAATATTCAAAAAAATCACATTGTATTTAATTAAATGCAATGTTTTGTTTCGGAACGTTCTCACCTTTTTTCGTTTTCGACGCAAGATAATTTTCACAAAGTACACACAGATATGTATAGGATTTACATGCGCATAAACATACGTTTTAATCGTTTTAAATATATCGAAAAAAACAGAAGTGTTAATACGATCCAATCGTGACAATTTACTTCTCGTATATAACTCGCATATTCAATATAATTAAGCGCACGCGACTCCATCTCATCTACATCATCTCGTTGAAAGAAAACGTGATCCTTGAAGAGAACACGTATATTTTACATTGTTTTTCTGTTTTTCGATACGACGCGAAGACTTTCGAATTTAGGAAAAAACGTAACAAGATTGTACTTACATGCAATTTCATGACGAGAAAGCTGGTCGATTCCTTCGAGGGTGGAGTGTTTCTGAGACGGGCGCGCGGTTACCAGAACAACTTTATAGTCGGCCACGTAAAAGGAACCTTTCGACGACGGGGATGTGACTCTCGGAGAGAGCCACCTCCATTCTACATCGCGTCGACTAGCCAGCCGATATCCAACAATTACTGTTCTTTTTTTTACGAATGTATTTAAAAAAATGCTTCCGGTGATAAGTATACGTGATAAGTATACGATACGTTAATTATGTTATTTACAAAGAATTTGCAAAGAATGCAGTAATAAATTGAAATTTATGATATGAATGCAGACTTTATTATGCAAAATTTTAATGAATAAATTTGAATCAACTTTTAGCAATTCGAAAATGATTCAGCTTTATAAATTTCTATAATATAAATCTATAATATAACAAATTTGCTCATTGCAGAGTTATTACATCTTTATTTTGTTTAAAAATAAAATGAAATAAAAAATAACAAAAGAATTTTCAATATTTTTCCATATTTTTTTATAAATCAATAGCAAAACTTTTATATAAAATAATTTTATGAAGTTATTAATCTATCTTTTCTAAATAATTTAATTTTACTTTTACAATAATTTAAAAATTTTGTATTATATATGCACGCTTTGCAAATAAAATCTCACGTATTGTTTGCATCAAACTTTCTTTATACAATATACGAGGAACGGCTCATTAACAAGACATTCATCTCCAATGCAATACATAATTGAAAAGTCTCGAGTGCACCGGTGGAAAACGACAAACTAGTCGCAATGGAATGCGATTCAATACAAAGTTTCCCAGGCAATCGCCTTGCAAAGGTTACGATGCGAAGACTAAGCGCATCTTTAATTAATTGTCGACATTGAATTGAATTATTATCTTGTCATGTTATATAAAAGCGCACTATGCTTTATTGCTTTTAAAATCAAAATAATGAAAATAATATGGACCTAAGTTTTGGAGTAATATTTTAGGAATTATTTTGCAGTAAGAAGATTTTGCCATTTTGTAGCTAACGAGGTAATAATTACAAAAATGTAGGTAGTGATTACAAAAATATCATTAGAAAGAAATTATTTCTTATTGTGCACGTTACACTCTACTCGGATTTTCTTATAAAAATATAGTATAAATCGACGAATATAATTATACATTACGAATATAATTATCTTATAAAAACATAGTATAAATCGACGAATATAATTATACATTATTCTGAATATATTCTTAATACTACATTCTTGATTCGATATATTCATTCGATAGATTCATAGAAATTATAAATGTCCCTATTTTTGCAGTAGATTCGATAAAGATTAGATGCCGATAAAGAGTAGATCTCTAACGTTTCGTATCATTAAAGTCTTATTAAGTCTATAAAATCTTAATTCTACAGATTCCTATCTGGATACGCAATTATCATAGGATATTGTTATTTTATTCAATTATTTGCAAAGTCGCTTTCTTATTTATAAGTGGAAATGCTATTATGTCAGTTTAAAATAGAAAGTTACATTGTTGTATCGCATTTTACATTGCAAACAAATACCCACACACATAAAATTTCCCATGAAATTACCAGTTATCCCAAGCCTTACATTGACATCTAAAAAGAATACGATTCAATCTAAGAAATGATACTCGATGGATAAAATGAAATGATGATATACAGAATGTACAGAATGATTCACGAAGAGAATGGATATCTTTCGAAACTGATTTATATCAAGCAATTAAATTCAAAAAAAAATTAAAGTATTCAATACATGATAGAATGATAATTGTATGTATGACTAGTTATATAAATTAAGATCACTTTTAATTAAACATAGTATTCTAGTAAAATGGGAAGTGTAATTTAATAAATTAATGTTTATCATATTTTTTATAAATTTATACATCTGTTAAAACATGTTTTTACATTTTCTTTATATTTTTCTATGTTATATTTTTATCTATTTTTATGTTATATATTTTTATCTATTTTTATGTTATATATTTTTATCTATTTTTATGTTATATATATTTTATGTTATATATTTCTTTTATACTTTCTTTTAATCAATTTTAAATCTGACTGCGATAATTAATCAATTGATAGTGTAGATTTGTCATGAATTATTACGTAATAACTAAACTATAGCTATATATTATTGCGTAATAACTAAAACTATAGCTATAATTTTTTCTGATAAAAATAAATATGAATCTAATGAATCTAAAGAACGTGACCCTCAAATCCGTTTACGTACAGTAGGCGCCAATAATGCCTTAACATATGAAATTGGTCGTATTTGAGACTAATAATAACTTAATAATAATCCCGAATGCGACCAATTTCATATATTAAGGCATTATTAGCACTGTACAAACACCGATAAGAGAAGCAAAAAAATGAAAGTTGCGTCGTGCTATACGAGTAAAATGAAAAACGTTTACAATTGCAACGCCTGGACGGTGAGTTAATACGCGAAGCGTGAAGGTTACGAAAGTGAACCATCAATCTTATCCGGAGAAATGCTATTTCCGTTTCGGAAGCACTATTTTTACGCGAAATTTTAAAAAGACATAAAATATGCTTTTAGGATTCATGCATTATAAATATTTTTATCTTGTATTGTCATGCATCAATGACGAAATATATTTGATTTCTAATATCATGTATCATTTTTACGTAGAAAGATAATGTCTTTCTTATCAAAAACATAAATTCTGTTAATAAATGTTACAATCAAAGACGATATTTTTTCTTTTTATATTTTTAGAATACACATCTTATTCACATCTTGCAATAATTTCTCTTTTCACTTACGTAATTTAGTTCTAATAACTTCTTACATTAAGTCGATCTATTTTTTTTTGCAAAATCTGTGCTTTAAGCGCGTTCTTCTTATTATATCATAAATCTCCGTGCGAGATACAATATCACTTTCTAATATCACAAGGCGATTAGATATCTTTATTCAATAGAAAGCTAAAAATTTTCTATCTTTCTATTTGTTTTAATAATATAGGAATTATTCTTATGTGTAATTAAATAAACCACGTGTCGCGTAAAACTTCCTGAAAGAAGTAGGCTTACGAAATAGTTTAAGTTTATCGAATTTTCACTTATTAACTTACTTTTTTTATGAGCGGAAGTTCCGCCAGTTCCGCAAGTTGAAATAATAAAAGTTAAAAAAACTAAGATTACGCGAGGTAAATGACTTTCATGATGCTTTCAGAAGCGAAAACGATATTTATTTCAAACAAAAACTTACATTCTTCGTGTTACCGTGTAGTTAGCATCTTACATGCGAAAAATTGAATATAATATCTAATATTATAATTAAATGAAATAAAAATCGAGTAGAAAAAAATTGATTAAAAGGGAATATCTCATCAGCTAATTTTATCACTTTTGTTTTGAATATTCTCTTGTTATTATTATTTCGAATAAATTTCTATTCTTCTATTTTTTCGAATAGAATTCCAATTATAAACATTTCTTTGAATCATTTTCAATTTATTTTATTATAAATTTTTCTTTTTTATTTACTTTACATTAATTTTAAATCAAATAATTAATTCTAATTACATTTAATTCTTACGTCAAGAAACTATTATTAAAAAATACACGGTAATGCAAGACATGTCAAAGCGTCAATAAATGATGCAAATAATTTAAGACGCATAAGATGCTCATCTTAACAAAATCCTGATGACGCCAAAAGTCATTTTCATCAATGAAAATAAAATTCGAGTCTCTAGATGAGCTAACAATTTCTCACTTCAAAAAGCTTATCGAAATAGAATATTAATTTATACAAGTCGTAATTAAAGGCCAGATAATTAATGACTCTGGCCCTCGTCAATCGGTTGGTCCTGCGAATATTCCGCATCGACATTCTCGTCGCTCGGGTAGTACACCTTACTACGATAGTAATGAGGTCCTTTGGCATCATCTGACAATGGTTTGGGAATAAAGATGTTCTTCGGTGTATATTGAATGCGATTTGCCGTGACATCGTACGGTATCTGCGCTTGATACTGTAACAATTGCTTAATCTCCGTAGGCATATTCTTATCCAGATACAATATAGGTGTTGGAGGCTCAGGTAGAGTTCCAAACGGCGACGTAGCGACTTGTTGTTGCTGTTGTTGTTGTTGTTGTTGTTCCTGCTGCTGCTGTTCGTAATCCTCCTTGTAGGCGACTCTATCCTGACGCTCTGTCCTATCGTTATATCTTTGAGGATCGATCGACTGGTACCTCGCTGATGGTTGCTGGTAGGCAGCTTGAGGAATTTCGGAAGCAGACGGAGCTGGTTGCTGCGGCGGTGCGTATCCGCCGCCGTAGAGGAAGGATGAAGGATCAACATAGGGAACTTGTGGCTGATAGACCGAATCGATCAGTTGCCTGATATGACCCGGCACCGCGGAATATGGCTTGTAACTGTAGTATTGTGGAGTCTTCACCTGCTGCTGAGCTTTCTGGGATTGAGGCTGCGGTGCCGGAGCTCGATACTGCGGAGCTGTAGTTTGCTGAGTTTGTCGAAGATGATGGGACGAGCCGCCCTCGGCACGTTGGGGTCGCTGTGCATTCGCCAGTTGCCACTGATTCCCAGGTGTGATGTACTTCAAATTGACACGCGAGCCTGCAATATCGAAAGAAACACTTCGTCACCATCGCGTCCGCTACCATGATTAATGCTTGTTGTTGATTATCGGTGCTTATGCAACACCGACCTCACTTCGACCAAGGAATTGTTTTAAAGATCTGCGATGTGAAAATTGGCCCTCGCGTGCATTGCAATAGTAATAGCAATAATATTTAATTGCGTTGCAACGGGGCCAAGGTTCGCGAAGTGTATCTTCAATGAGCGTTTGCGGAGGATAAAAAAAATTCTCATACTCACCATCAATTTCGTCGTATTTGATTTGCCCTTGCGGATTGCGAACAGATCTCTCTACATTTTTTGTTTGCGCCCACGCGGTCGAAATTACCGTAATAAGAAATATCTGTAATCGAATTAGTATTCAACACAATATTAATATACAATTGACAATTTCATATGAATGTACTCTGTAATACTCTGACAATTTCATATGAAATTGATTCCAATCTACATAAAAATGCTCGAATAAATATGAGATATGATTTAAAAAATTATTTATGAGTGAAAAATATGATAAAACTATATCAACTTCATCAAAAATCGATTTATATTATTTAATTAAGATTAATGATACATCGATTAACACTAACAATCAGACGATAGTCTAATAATAATCACATTATCAGATAACTCCGTAAAATAAAATATGTTTGACTATACGCTGATGAAATATTTCTCGTCACTATATTAATAAATTATATACGCGATAGATCGATCAAAATATCCTAAGCACTCACTGATAGTTTCATGGCGGAGAGAGAGATGTATGCGGATGATCGCGTCGACTTTACTCGCAGAAATCAACCGGTGGAGCCGGCGTAGCTCTTCTATATAGTCCTGGTCTCCCCGACGTAATTGGCGGCGCGGGTACACGGCTGGTGGCTACCTACTTTTAGAGTAATTCCGCCTAGAGTCACGAGCGAATTACAGCAAAAGACCCTCCCCAAGGATATATTATCACTTGTTACAAATACATTTTCCTGACGTAACAGTATTGTAAAATCATTCTCAGAAGCGATAAAAAATTTATGATGAATCCGAGAATTTTGGAGAACAACTTTTCCACATCTTACTCTCTTCGCTCTCTTCGATAATTCATGTGTTGCATTCTTAATTGCAATGTGATAGATTTACACAAAAATTATTGTATCTCGAAAATACCTATCAAAATTATTGAGAAATGTCTATCTTGACAACATTATTTATACTAAAAAGTAAAAGAAATTATATAATAATTATAAAGATAAAGAAGAGATAAAAAATTTTAATAAAAAAATGATTTTTATATACATTTAACAGAAAGCCAATATATCTTAAATAAAGGTGAACAAAAATTCAAGAGGGCAAAAAATGCATTGCAACAAGAAATTTTTTCCAACAATTTTCGCAACAATTAATATTGGCCGATGAAAAGGCTGAAGATTTTAATGCGTTGACCGCATATGTTCTAGCGTTTTTTTTTTACTTTAATTATAGTGAAATTGCTCCATGCGATCCCGAGGATTTTAACGAGGCTTCGTGATGCAACAAGAAACATCGGGGTTTTAGGTTTAAATTCGCATTTCAGAGCGCTAAAATAGGGTCGTAGGATATGCACTTAAATTATCTCAAATGAAAAGTAACGATGCGGTAGAAGTTAGAAGAAACTATTCGACATAAAAACAAACAATTCTCATTACTATAATAAAGTATGGGATTACATAGAATTGTATAAAATAAAATAGAAGTTGAAACTAGAGCCTCTTGTTCCGTATATTACGCCAGATACTAATTGTGTTCCTTAACTTTAATCATGCGAAGTAATATGATTTTACAGCATGAGAAAAAAATAAATTAAAAAAGAATAAGAAAACAAAGATCAATTCTGGGAAATTTTATACATACGTATAGGTATAAAAAATTTCTTAACATTCTTAACATAGAAATTTTGTTGCAGTGTAAAATGAACATAATTTTAGAGTGTAATCTAATGTAATATAATTTCTTTAAATTTACAGAGAAAAAATTAATATTAGAAAGGATATCTATTTTTACTTATTTATTAATATTGCTATTTTTTTATCTGAAACATACAAATTTCAAGCACTTAAAACATTTTATTAGGAACATTTGACGGAATTAAATTAGAGCATATCAAAATTCCCGATAACATGGATCAAGCTCGAATCAACGTAGATTTTCCCAGTAAAACGAATCCAAACGAATTGGAAAAGATTATTTTCAGCAACCTGTTCTATAAACGTTCTTTGCATTGTACATAATTTACGTGCAAATGATCTGTTGTGTACTAAACGTCAACCAATATGCGTCATTGGTAACAAGCAGCGGTCTGTCAATCCGAGTAAAAGTAAACGGTAAAAAAATCTCTTTAATATTGATCTATAAATTTTTCCAGATAATGAACTAAGCCGATTTTACTGCTCCGCAGAAAAGGAAACCTCTCGAACGACGGGATAATTACGCGGCTGCGTGACGTTCGCAAACTTCTAATGCGATGAGAATGCAACGCAAGCATTCGTGAGTAACGAGCATTATCTTAATGCATTGACGTATTAAGCCGTACCAATTAAAACTCATGAATCGCAAACAACATATCCTGTTGCTTTTTATACTTCTAGTGATAATATAAAATTTTTGTTTTACGTAATTAATTTTAGATATATAAAAAATAGATTGTATAGGACTGTCATATTTAGCCCTTTAATATTTCGATATTAAAATAAGGCATATGTGTAACATCTCTCGTAGATATAAAATCTTTTTTCATATTCAGCAATCAAATTTTAGATTGGACAAAGAATTCGAGAAGTCATTTAGAGGTAACACGGTGAATGAAAAAAGAAAAAGAATTTCTTAAGCATGTATGTAAGATTAGAAGGGAACATTATGTAAAAACCGAGCAGGAAAACGCACGGCGCGATTAAAAATCCATGAAAATCTCGTAAAAACGGTTCTTAACAATTTCTTTCTTTTCCTTTGTCGGAGCCAAATTGACAGCAATTTTCAGAATTGAGAACGAGAGGCGAAACATTGCAACACATGGACCCGAACGAGCGTCGACCTCCGCGCGAATATAAATGAGGAAAGCTTGCGACCACGATAAGATTCGAAAGGTACGATCTGTGGGAGAGGAGAAAAAGGAAGAATTTGACAGGAGGGAACGACCGGAGAAAGTCGATTATTTCTTGCCGATCAACGGAAGAGACTTTGCGTCCGCGACGTCTGATATCGCGGCGCACCGGAAACTCACTTCACGTACGCGGACGAAGAAATGCACTTCCTCCTTTTCGATATGCGATAACGTTGTACTTCCATCACGCTCGATAGATATCACGCATAGATTAATTCGCTTTAATGCAATTTGCCTCTACAATCTGAGAGTTCTCTTAGAAAGTGTGTGATTTATTAGACGCTTCAAAGATCTCAGCGAGAAGAATCATGCATAAGAGCGTGAAAAAATTGCAAGAATCGATAGGAATATTTTGTTTCGCCAATAACTAATATTTGTATCCGCATATGCAACAGAAATACACATTTTGTCTTGTAAATCAAAGTGATATGTGATATTTTATCGTTGTTAATTTGTTGTCGGGGAAGTTTTATAATCGTATATTTTTTTTATTTATGCAATACGCAATGTGATTGCGAAATGCAGAAATAATCATAAACGAGAGAAATGTCTGATAACTTCGAGGCCGAGAGAAACAAGAATTGCGCTTTCGCCATACTGCGAGTTATTGGAAAAACCGGAAATGTAATGAGCAAAGTATAAATCGCAATTAATATGTATGCTTTGAGGAAATTAAACTACACTCGCGGCTTAATTTTCCACGAGATTTGCGCCGTCGATTTCAATTTAGCGATGCTGCAATGAAAGTAAAACTCATTACCGCGGTCATTATAAAGAATGGTTATTACGACGAGCCAGGAATAATTTTGCTTTAATGAGCGCTTTGGGATACATGCAGAATCCTGAGAGATGATTAAAATTATTTCAAGGATTGCGCACGACGCCAACTTCGATGAATGCTCAAAGCTACACCACGCTATCCCTCTGATAATCCATTGTAAGTCGGTAAACGTTCTGGTAACGTCGATATATAATCTGCTGTAGAGTACTCAGCAAAACGAACTGTGTACAGGTTTTTCTTAGATTATTATTATTTATGAAAATAATATATTGTAATTATTTTAATTATTTTTGAATCGATAATGATTCCTTCTTTTAAAATTGTTTGTATGATATTAATATATTGTACGTATTGTATATATTTTCTGATTTTTTATATTTTTCTCCAATTAATTAAATGTTTAAAGAAAAGTATTGTGTTTTCATTTTAACCTATGTTTTATTGCTATTATTAAATGTAAGATTATTTATACAATCTTGCACCTACAAATAATTTTGAAAATAAAAAATAAAAAAAATAGATTACGCTTTCTTTCAGAAAAAAGTAAAGGTTTACACTTCCTATAGAATATTTATGCTTCCTACATAAAGATCCATAATTTTGAAAATCGTTTAAAAATTTGTGGCAAAGATTCTTTTTTAATAAAAAAAATAAACAAATTTAAATGTATTTTCATAGAGAAATGCTCATTTTATTCATTAATTATTATAAATAAAAATATAATGTAGTTAAAACTTCATCGATTCGTAAATAAGTTAAAATTAATCTTTTTTAGAAGCTTTGGGACACGTTGCATAAACTATGCGAGCGAGATATTCGTTCTTCTCGCTAGCCCATGAAAGAAATGTCAGACTAAGTCATCAAGGGGAAAGTACGAGGACTAGCATGTACAGAAAACATTCGTCGGGCGTGGTGGAAGACCGGTATGATCCACGACTGGGATCCGCGTTGCCATCAAGGCCTCTTCGCCAGGTCGCCCTGAACCAACTCGTTGTATAAAACGCCCCTCCCGTCGATTTCTGGGTACATTGTTGTACTTCCCGCTGCCTAACGATTCTATTCCTTCATCATGCACGCTGCATTTGTAAGTTCTTTGCAAGTATCTATCTCTACGTCTCTCTTAAATTGCACTTCGACCTTATCTAATAATTTTCTCATCAAGATATAATGATATATATGTAATACATTGATATATATATATATATATATATATATATATATATATATATTGTATATATATTGTATAATTAATCTATAGTAAAAGATAATTACATAATGACGTAAGGCGCAATTAAATTCCATTGTACATTGAATAAAAAATGTGAATATTCTGTTTCTTTCAGATTTTTTAATTCTACATATTATATCTGAATTTTATAATTTATTTTATTATTTGCAGATTATTTTCTTGACTGTCATTATTGGCGTTTTTTGTCAAGAGCCTCGTTATCAATCATCGCATCAAGCGGCAATTTTGAGCGACGCGCGTTATCTGGCAGGTGATGGCACATTTGGAGCGGCCTATTCTCAAGAAGACGGTGTTGAATTTAAAGAAGAGAGCGATGTGGATGGTAATCGACGTGGATCATACTCGTACGTCGATCCAACCGGGCAAAGACGTACCGTGACCTATACTGCGGGAAAAAATGGCTTCCAGGTACGCACACACAAAATACGCGTTTATTCAAATCATTAACTTTGTCACATGACAATAACTGGAGACGAGAGATCAAGTATTATTTTGACATCAATTGAAGAAAATTAAATATTTGACACATGACATTTCAACTAAATCGCAAGTAAAAAGATTGAGAAGCTGGATTCCATTGAATCCAGCTACTTCAAGTCGCAATCAAAATCAGGAGAAAATAAGATATAAAGCTTTAAAGTTAATTTTATTTAATTAATTATGTCGAGAGAGAGGAAACGTGCTAAATTAATTCTCGTCCCGTAGGCGACCGGGGATCACATTCCCACTGCACGTCCGCAAGTAGCCCCGCAACCGGAATACGTACCGTTGTCGCAGTATAATCCGCCGGATTATCAATCCCCGAATTACGCATCACCACCTGTTCAACAGTATCCACAGCGCTATGAACCAGCGGATTACGAGCCACAGCCTGTCGTTTACCAGCCGCAGCCTCCACCTCCGCAATATCGGTATCGACCGCAGCCGCAACCTAGTTATCATCATCCCTCGGAATTACAAAGTATACCCTCTTATGAGCCTCCTAGTCCGCGTTATCAACCTCGTCCCGCGCCGTACAACGCGATAACGACTCCGGCTCCTCCCAATTTTTATCCACCGGGGAAGCTCAATTTCAATCGAACCCCCGACGGTTTTTCCTACACATTCAGCAAAAGTTAAGTGGCATATAAATTAAATGAAAGACGCGACGATCAGGTTGTAAAATTTTTAATCTATGATAAGAAATACATACATATAATATCGAATCTTGACCGATCGAGATGTGCCATTAATTAAAAGAGAATTCAAGATTTTGAATAGAAACGCGTGGCCGAATATATATTTATATTAAAGAAATAAAAAATAGCTAAAACAAGTGTATCAAATGTGAAAAAATATCATTTACTTCAGAATCAACATCATGACATTAATTTCCATTTTTCTCATGTCAAATCTGTAATCAATTTTACGTTCGTAATTGATATAATAATTATTATACCTTATTTATCCATCAGCAATTTTATAAAAATATTATTTTAAAGATATAATATCGATTTTTAAGATATAATAAGATATAATTTTAAGAGTACCCTATAAATGAAATAAGTTCTCTTAATAAAATATATTGATTTTTTATTCGTTTAATGAAATAAATTAATCCCCTAAATGTTAATTAGCTATTTTGACATTATAAAGGAAAAATAAAACATCGGAATTGCACAGAATCGAATGATTCTTTTATCTCGTTTATTTGCGCACGCCCAGTTTGTCTCGCATAATAATAATTTCTCGCGCAAATGCGAGCACAATCACGTGTTTCATAGGGTCAGTTCACTTTCATCCGACAACCTTTGCGTTCTCTTGATGTTGCAATTGAGAATCCCACGATACCGAAAGAAATAAAGAGATACGCCTAATATACATATATTTACTCAAGAAATATACCAGAGAGAGAAATGTTTATTCCGATACTTTTTTTATTTAATTTGTAATTTTTAATTAAATTCATTTAGTATTATTACTCATTTAACTCTTTTTAACTTTTCAATAATAAATGATGTTATATTTTACATCAATGAATTGAAAAAATGTTTCTTTTCTCATTACATATTTTTATAATGTAAAATAATTACTATAATTTTTGTATAAAAAAAGCTTATTATTAAATTTATTAAAATAAATTTAAAAGTATGCAAATTAAGGCTCACGCGAACATCTATTATAAAAATATACTATTCTTATTCCGTAAAAGGCAGCGATGCGGGAAGAAAAAGCGGACAAAGGAATGATTATCTTATTATCCAGGATTGCGAGTGATAATGCGAGTGTACCACGCCATTGAGAAGGGTCGGCAAGGGCGAGGAAATAAAAATGCAACGAAGTCGAGCCGGTTGGCTAGCCATTATTGTTAGCCCGTAATACGGGCGCGGCGATTCGACAAGGCAAACCGCCTGCATCCGAACAGGAACTCGGCAACCTTATGTGGGCAGAAAGAAATGCATACCATAATATTTCAACGTCATCCCAATGTTGTCGCCCGAGAAAACTAGCATTGTAATATTGCCGATCGAATCGATAGCATAGTTTTCATCATTGCGTTAGTACTATGTCTCCCTGTCTTCTGTATTCAATAAATTTTTACTTAAATTTTTTTCATGCGTAAAGATTGATATCTATTGTTAAACGTGAACAGCAATTAATACAAAGTAGTTTTGGTCGTGTTTTATTTATAAAGGTATATTGAAGGTATACATTTCGTTTTATATAATTATGGCAGTAATATACAGACTCTGATTAGCTGCGCGTGACATCAACAGTATAAAAGTAGTCTAAAACAGCTGCTATAGAGGCAGTGTGGTATCGAACGTTCACTCCTCATAACAAAAGAACGAAAATCAATTAAATGCCATCTTATCTAAGTCACTAACTTATTTCAAGTCATGTCTTATTTATGCCGATGTGCCTCCCTAACACGTGAATTCAAATGATGACGATAGTATGGATAAGTCCCAGAGAAAAGGCACTATACGTCTATTCTTCAAAATCTTCAACGAACGTTACGTCGTGGAAGTTATTGCATTTACTCTCTTGCACGCGTCATTTTTTGTTTTTCTTGTATAAAACTTCTCCAAAACAAAATTAAAATTATAATACGAACTAGCATATATTATTGCGCTTGCTGTGTCAAACGGTAATCGGTACGTATTTTTTGTTCCCCCATATGTTAACTCGAGTACTTCTAGTGTTCTTTATTGAACATTATCAATGATAGATGTAATAACCGATTAGGCAAACGCTAACTATTTATCTCCTAAAAATTGCGAATATTAACTCCAAAGGCATTAATCTGAATTTGATTGCACTTTTTGTCTCAGTTATATGCGCAATAAGATAAAACACGGTAAATACACACGATACGGGCAAATGAAGTAAAAATCAATCGTTGCGAGACAGTATTAATCTCGCTACATTAAAAATATTTGTTATAATTTAAATATTAATACATAACAGTCTAAATATTAATTCATGCAAAAATTCAAAACGTTCCCATAATTATTTGTACGTATAATAATCTAAAACAGTCGCTATTGTCGCTATTGATTATTTCTACTGACATAGTAAATATTACACAAAATATACGCTGTGTTAGGCTCCGACTTTTGATTTTTACATCACGCAGAGGCACGGTCATCCTAAAAGCGATCATCGAATGGAAAACAACCCGGAAGTGGATTTGTACGTGGGGGAGGAGGCACGGCAGTCTCGCATTATTAGCGCGTTTTACTGGCTTATCTTAGAATATTATTCTAAGGAGACGAGAGAAAGAAGTTTAAGCGCTGTAACAAGCAAATTCTATCGGCTCTTTTCGAAAGATATAGTTTGTTCACAATGCAAATTCACACGATAAGATATTCGCAAATGTCTGCCAAAATGTGACGATGCGTATATGTAGTCTCCAGTTGAAAACCTGATTATTGTCGCTAATTTCCCGTTGCGAATAATGGATATATACTTATATACATTTTTCTTTGTAATAAAACTGATAAAATGATAAGATTATTTCCCGACTCGCATGTAATTACATTTCATTGTTCGAAACTCAGATAAAATATACAATTAATAATGTCTTTCTCTTCGTATTTTATCACGCGATGCGTATAGTTCATATTTGATTCATATTTGATGGTTTGACGAACTATCAGAGAAATATTTTTCCACCCATTTTCATGTCATATAATACATACTAATACATAACTAAGTATAAATTTTTGAACATCCTTGATTAAGTACATGCGGACTTTATAATTTCAAGGATAATTGTAACAATAGCATATCATAAAAGAAAAAAACAGAAATAAAAAAATTCTACTTGCACTAAAAATCAATTAATAATATTAAGATTTTCAGCACGCAATATTTTATATTTCCTTGCGCTATTGTGGCTTACGTAAAAGGCATATCTACTTCTTATAGAAAATATAAAAAAAAAATCTTATTTTAAAATATTGAAAAATGTTTTCACGTATTTAAAATTAATTTTAAACACGCCTTAATGTTTGTTTTCAGCGTAAGCTTTTGGACACATGACTCCAGTCAACACTTATGCCACAGTGATGATCTACGTTTGGTATAAAAGATGACAATGTATTACAGACATTGTCTTTGGAAGATCATAAAATTCCGCCGAATACATCACACAATTTGCTAGACAACGATAGTCTGGCACGTCTCAATACACATATAATTACTTAAGATACTTAATGAATACTTAATGAATGATTAAATTATTTCAGAGCGAGGTATACAAGATGATTTACCTATTTCGAAGTGCATTTAAATTGATGTTATATTTTGAATATTTGAAAAATGTTTTAATTGATTTATTTATCGACTAAATATATTTATCGAAATAAACACACTATTAAAGTGTGAAAAGTAAAAATGTTTAGACATTCAAAAGTATCAAACATGGAATGCAACGTTAATAAAATTGTTCCTGATATTTAAAAATTACTTGTATGTTTTAAAAAATAAAATTATATGATATTTTGTACACATAAATTAATTTATATATATAAATAAAATATTATTTTATATATATAAAATTATATTATATATATATTTTATATATATATATATAAAATTTATATTAATATTATTATATATAATATTTTATTTATATAATATTTTATTAATTTATAATATTTTTTAAATAATATTTTAATAATAAATATTATTTTATTTATATAAAATAATATTTATTAATAAAATATTATTTTATTTATATAAATAATTATTTATATTTATTATTATTTATATGTATAAAATTTTGTCCTCTGGCTTAATTAATTATTTTAATATTTAAAATATTTTTTCAGATTATATTTAAACTTAATATTCTTATGTCAGATAGAATTATTTATCTATCATATGTCAGATAGAATTATTTATCTATCTGACAAGAATAAAATACACGATTAAAATAATGTCCTTGAAATCATGCCAGTTTTTATTCGAAATGTTCTTTCATATAATAATAAATAAAAAAATGAATTGAGATTAATAAGTAAATCATCTTGTATAAAAATTCAATATAAAACATAATTAATTTTTCGAATAATCCAAATAATTCTTAATTTTAATATCAAAGAATACGATACCATCGAAATAATAAATTCTTTAAATTATAACGTTGCAATGTAAAACATATATACATATATATAAAAAAATATAATAGCATTGAGAACAAACCTGTACATCAGGGAGTACATTTTGCTATGAGATGCTATTTTGTAACTTTTTAAATATAATTTTTTTATCTAATTTAAAGGATGCAGCAATGTGATGTTCCTTATATTAATATCGATCTTTCTGTGCATTTGTTTTATGAAGTTATATATGAATATACCTTTATATATGTACTTATTATGTATACATGTATATATTAAAAAGTTACAAAATAGATCTGCTATACCTATGCGGTACCTATGAATGCCGGGAAGCTAGCTATGTAGGAACGTATATTATTAAGTAATACTTTTTAAATATTGACGCAATATTGCATTTTAATTCAATATTGCATCAATATTTAAATTTATTATCCTCGAAAACGAGATAGATCTTATATCGTATTAAGATACACAGTAGTATTACTGAAAATAAATTCTCTACGTAATCTTGATATGTACTTGCTCTACAATGCATAAATTGCTGCTTCTTTAATAATTTGTTAAAATGAGATTATTATATACCAAAGATAATTAAAAAATATAAATTTTTTTGATAATTTGTTACTCCAAAAGAGAGAGAGAGAGGAAATGATTAAGAATTTATAGTACGTAAAATTTTCTTACCTCTTCAAAAATGATATTTTAGAAATGATTTCATTATATTAAAACTTCTAATAAAAATGCTAGAAAATGCTAGAAAAAATTACAGCTGTATCAGATTACCAAATTAATTGATAAATAAATATAACCAGTAACTAAATAGATATATAAGTATCAACATCTCGTATTTAGCCTATTAGTTCTATTAACATTATTGAATATACTACTACTGTGTATCTGTTATCGATAAATTGGTATATATGTATATCATTACAATCACAATATGCATGACACTATGCGAAAGTTTCTGGTCAAAATAGAACAGAAAACTTGTACTATGGTAAGACACAAATCGACGGTACGTAGTGACAGGGGAAAGAGTAATTCTAGCTGCATAATCCAGAGGGATCGACAAGTCCTCTGGCAATAAGTTCAGCCGTGGCAGCGTCACCGCCACCTTGTTTACCGCTTGACGGTTGACCTGCCGACGATTGCGCGTGCGGGTCGCAATGCGTGCGTATATGAAACAAAAATTCGGCCTTATCTGTGAAATCGGTGCGACACATTAAGCAGAAATGCCTATCGGACGGGTAGGATTGCGGCGGCGGTGCGGACCCGGGAAAGTATGGGGCAGCATGTTGTGGCGGCGCGGACGCATCCAAATGAGATCTGCGATTAATCAAAGTCAGTTTTATAAATTAGGATCTAGATATATATGATATTGAAGAGGTATATACAATATTAAAGAAATATACTAACCGAGCATGTTGCGCCCACTCCTCTCTAAGAGCGAACATCCGTCCACATAGTTCGCAAGTCCAACTCACTGGTTCTTCCTTCAGCTTATGAATGCTATCTTGGCGTGATGTCTGCTGTTGTTGTTGTTGTTGCGCTTGCTGCTGTTGTTGCTGCTGCTGCTGCTGTTGTTGATCGGATCTCGGTGTCGTGGGAGCCGAGAGAGGTGAAACGCCAGGTCTATGTCTAAGTTTGTTCATATGAATAACCAATTTATCTCGACGTGCAAATGCTTTGCCTGCAACATATATCGCATTTTTTTCTTCATCATTTGTTTCATTTTAAGATCAAAAGTTGTTCTAGAATTAAAAATAATTTCTATATATATATATATATATATATATATATATATATATATAAAACGAATCGACAAAAATAATTTTTACGCTCACCGCATACTTCGCAAGAATATGGCTTCTCCCCAGTATGTATACGCATATGTATAACAAGTTTATCTTTACGAGCGAGTCCTTTCCCGCATACGGTGCAAGAAAATGCTTTCGTAGTCGGTTCGCCCGTATTAGTTGCCTTTGAAACAGATCCCGGACGAACGCCTACGCTGTTCGTCGTTGTTGTCGTCGTCCGTAAGGGTTGATTCACTGGTGCTCTAAACTGTTGGTCCGTTGCACCAGGAAATGCCGGCATCATACTACCGGGACGCATCGCCGCAGAATACTCCGATGACCTACGGAAGATAGAACACAACGATCAAGTTACAATCATGTCCATAAAAATTAGTACAATTGTAGTACATGGAATTCTCTCAACAAAAGGATTAATCGAATATCTTTGAAATGTAGCAAAATAAAATTTTCATGTTAAAAATGTTATACAGGAATATATGTTTTTTTAAATGGAAACATTTTCTTCTTCGCAATCTAGAAAGAAATATTCTAATAAGGAATCGCCCTCTGTCTGAACGAAATATCTTGTATATTTTACGCACCATGATCCGATAGTACGCAACACCCGCACCCCATCATCATAGCCAAGTCCATCATCCGGTACAGTGAACGTGGGGTTGGGTGGTTGTGGAGCTGCGGGTGGTCCAGGTCCAGCTAATCTCGCTTGAGCGGCCTGTTGGGCCATGTGCTGTTGCAATGCCGCGTGTGCTATAGCGTGTGATTCTACATAAGTTGAGCGCTGCTGCTGCTGTCCTCCGTTTGACATCTTGTCTTTATCTGTGCCCTAAATTCATCCGTTCATTGATCGCACGTGATAATTGACACAGCAATTTTTTATTTAATAAAAAAAAATACTATGCAAATTTATGTTGAACAAATCTGGCTTGGAATTATAATTATTTTATTGTGTCTAATGACACAAAATAAATGTAATGTAATTTCCTAATTTGTATCAAATGTATTATTATTTCGTTTAATTTTGTTTGTGTTATTATTAATGATTTAGAAGTATTTAGCTAAATACAATCGTATTTTTTAAATATCATATTATAACATTACAATATTTAAAACGTTATTTCATCTCAAAACATAATTATAATTGCAAGTTCATAAATAATTAATAAGTGTCCCAATTATGTATATAATTATATATTATTTTCTATGGCATCAAACGATCGCTTAAAGAGAGCTTTACGAAGATCCGGAAATCTCTACATATGCAGAGTATGAAGGGTGGAATGCTTTTTAAAAATCATTCACAGTTCGATCTTCATAAAGATTATTTTAAAGCAAATATAAAATGTTTTATTTAACATCAACTTTTAGCAAATTACTTTTTTAAAAATAAAAATTTCAATTTTAATTAAGTTTTTGTTTTCATCGCGTAAAAGTTCAGAAAAGCGTAAATACGTTTTCTTTCTTTTTCAACGCAGCTATTATTGCTTTGTCAAGATCTCTCGAAGGAAAGAACAACAAGGAAAGTTTATTATGCGCGTTAGAAAAAGGATGAGCCTCGAAAAAAATTAAAACAAGATTGCTCTTAGTCCAATATTAGTAAATTTTCCTTCATATCTTATCTCTTTCTCGAGGAGATTATCAATACGGGTGTAACTCTCGATAAAGGAACAAAAATTCTATTTTTGCATCTGAGCTTTCTAAATGCAGGGGACATAAAGAAACTCCAGAAAACATTCAATAATGGCCGAAAAGCAGGGAACGCTCCGGAAGAAGAAAGAGACAGGAGAAAGAAGCCATCGCACGAGTCGATCGTTCTCACAAAAGAGACGGGCAGCCGTCTTTTTGGAGACGCTTACCACGCACCGCAGAGTCCTATCCAAAGAGATCGTTGGGCTCCGGAATCGAGAGATCACTTCGATCGATGAGAAGCGATTTTCCGATAAGATCGAGCGATTCAGATTTTCGATTTTCACAGCACCGTATGGAGAAGGAGCGGAGATTTCGTGCTCATTTTCGACGAGGATCAAAATTCTCGCTCACTTCCAAAATCTTCCACATCCGAAACAACGACACATCTGCACAAAACGATGCACTCGACGTATAACACTGACACGCGCGCTCACGCGTGTTCCTTACGCGCTTTCGCTACTTTTCGCGAGGCGTCCAAGGAATCTCGCGGTTCACGGCAAGAGAGAACCCGCGAAGCTGGCCGCCGCCACCGCCGTTGATTCCCGGCGCGGGAGGATGCAAGGACAAAGAGGCGAAAAAAAAGCAGCCGACGTGCGCGGAGGGGATAAGCGCGAGACGACCGGGGAGACGGCTCCCTCGCTGTCGGACTTCGAGAAGAGAAGAAAGAAACACAGAACCAGGTGAAGGGAGGGAGGGTTCAACGGAGAGGAAGCAGAGATAGAGAGAAAGGGAAAGAGAGGAAAAGCGTGAGCGAGATTGCGTGTGTATGTGAAGATGATGAGGGCGGGAGGAGAGGTAACGGAGAGAGAACGAAGTAAGACGGAGTCGGTGACACACACGGAGCTGCGCGCGAGACAAACGATGCCGAGCGGAGGTTCCCCGCGGAATGCACCGTGGCCGGCGTGGAGCGCGTCCAGGGATGCGACGAAGAGGAGGCGAACGCACAGGCACGCTGACGCGACGGGGAGACCATGAAAGAGAGATAGATAGATAGATAGAGAAACAGAGAGAGAGACAGGGCGGTCTGCCGAGGGGGAAGAACGAAAGGTGTGTGTTTATGTGTATGCATGTGACGATGATTCGTGTGTATCACTTTCGCGGCATGAGAGAGAAAGAAAGAAAGAAAGAACGAGAGAGATCGAGAGATAGAATAGAAAGAAGTAGAGAGAGAGAGAGAGAGAGAGAGAGAGAGAGAGAGAAATAAGAGCGACAAGATTCAAAAGAAGAAGGACCGCTAGCACGCTGAAAGATACATATACCGAATGGATATCCCCGGAATGCAGCGAACGGTCGACACGGCCAAATCGGAGTAAGCGAGATATGAGGATGATAGGAGACGAAACGATTGCTCGCAGCGACATAAGAGTATCATAGAAGAGTGTTAATGCGTATATAGTTCACTTTCTCTCTCTCTCCCTCTCTTTCGCTCTTTCTCTTTCAATGTATACATTATACAAACTACCGATGAAAGTAACACACGGAATACACGAGGAGCATCGGCGCTATGTGTGCTGTGCAATAGTGGTAACGGCGGCGACGGCGATCGGTGCGTCGGCCCGCTGACCTTGACACTGACATTGAGAGAGCGAAAGAGAGAAGGCGAAACTCGGGATGGGTGAGCAGAATTTGCGCGCGCGCACACGCCCGCAACACGGGAGCGAGACGCCAGGGACGACGAGGACATCGCGCGATCCTCCTCGTCGCGTCGTCCTTCGACAAACCACCGCCGATATTCCGGAACGTTAAGCGTCCGGCAGTTAAAGAGAGAGAGAGAAAGAGAAAGAAAGAATCACCCACGTAACGAGGCTGCGTCGATCGTCGGGATATCCCGAGTTTCGAAACAGGTTTCTCTTGAAGGTGCACGGGCCTGGCAACTTACGTTGCACCTGTGCCTAGGATCAAGAATGGAGGATTCGAGAGAGATCCAAGTTCGAAAGAGAAAGAGTACGGGACTGATGGAGGAGGTAACAGAGACGAAAAGAGAGAATGAGAGAAGAAGAGAAAAGATAGAGTAGAATTGTAATAAATTATAATAAATACAATATATGGAATAGTACTGGATTAAATGCTCTATGACTAAGTTTCCTGGGAATATGTGAAGCAAATACACACATTTATCCATATAAAAATATAAATGAAAGAATAGAAACAGTATGTGTGAGATGTTGCAAACTGTGATGGCTTTCACAGATACAGAATTATAATTGCAAGCCTTTTTTAAAAAAACATATGGATATAACATTAATAACATTAATGTGATATCGCATACATTGAAAAAATATATTGCGCAGGATAGGCAATTATATTCTGAAGAATATCGAGAAGAAAAGCACATGCAGAAAAAGGATGAAACACATAGTAAGAATGCAGCGGAATTAAGAGAAAGAGGAGGCACATTACGTGACGTAAACGAGAGAAGGAACGCGGCAGGTGGATAGGAAATAGGTTGGCGAGGCGGACAGGAAGAGAGGGGGCCAGAGGGGGAATGGTCGAGACGGAAGGAAGAACGAAGTATACTACGACTTTCGCTTTCTGTGCGCGCGACGCGGCTCGCGGTCGCGACGCGCCGATCAATAGATGTGCCGCGACGTCGGTCGTCGCGCTCTCTCCCTTCCCCCTTCACCAGCCCCGCCACGCTTTCTCCACCTCTCCCTATATCCCTTCTTGCCGCCCCAACGGCGTCTCCGTTACATATACGCGAGGGTGGAATTATTGAGATCGCGCGCCGCCGGGGTGTACCAGACGGGGAAGGGGACGTGGGGTCAGCGGGGGTTCCGAGAACCTCCGGCTACCGATCAGCGACGCCCTGTGTATCCTCTTCCCTCTCATGAATCCCGCTTTCAAGGATCCGTGCTCTCTAACTATCTTCGTCCTTCTCACTCGCCGTTATCGGAAGTATGGAAGAAGGTAAAGGATATGAGCTTGGCGAGACTTCTCGCCCCATTGATGATACTCTCCAAGACTGATTTCTTTGCTGATGTCGAATTAATTCTTTTTGCAAGTTGACTGATCTTACAACTGTGTTTAATTATTGTAATGATAAATAAGATAGGAGGATACTGAACGTCTTTCTAAATTGCTGAGCTACTATAAAGGAGAGAAAGTAAGAGAAAGAAACAGAAAAAGGAACGCTGGCGCATAACAAGCTTTAACGTATAAAACGCAAAGATATAAAATCGCTTTAGTGCGTTACGAATTTTATGCTTTTACGAGATCGCGAAAGAGTCTTGCGTACTTCATGTACTAATAAAACTTTTTAATCAATCATAATAAAATTAGAAATTCAAATCAAATCAATGATCTCGTATAAGTTTCGCTCGTATTATGAGAAAACAAATCCTTCAATAAATTTTACTATAATGATAGCCATTTTCATGATATTATGCATGACTTTTCATGCGTCATTTGACAATATCATAATTTAAAAATAACTTTATTATTTTTTAATATTGATAAAATATTTTGCATGTTCAAAAGGAATGCAAAATTCAACTGAGCTCAATCTCAAACGCGTAATCTTCCGTTATTTTAATTTTAATTTACAGCAATGGATAGTGAAAATATCACTTTATCATGTTATAAATTATATCATCAAGTTCCTTATAATTTAAAATCCATCTTGTATTTAAAAAAATTTTATTTACCTGAGTGAGCAGACCAATGTTTTTTATACTATCAGCATAATTCTTCAACACTGTCTCTGTGCTAATACAGTTGAGACGAAATTCATAGAACATATCCAATTTGTAGATACATCTTTGACAAATATTTTTTGGCAATGCATCTTCTTTTGTTACCTGTAACAAAATAATTTATTTTTTTATTTGAAGAAAAATTAGTTAAAGTAAAATCATAAGCCTGATCTTAATTTTCCTATGTTATATTAAATATTTTAATATTTAATGTAACATAGGAAAATTAAATTAAAGATTTAAATAAAATTAAATTTTTACAATAATCAGCTGTTTAGCTTGACTCTGGATGCATCTTTTCAAGCTTCACATGAAAATATGAAATAAAAAAATATTTTAAAAAATATTTAACAATTATAAATATCAACATGTCTTTATAAAATTTTTAAATATCTTAAAATATCTATTAGTTTATTACTTTATAGAAATAGTAAATTATTATATAACAAAGTCAGAGAGTAAAAGTAGTAGTACATCAATGATATTAACATTGGAAGATTGGAACAGCATAATAATAGTTATTTATGAATCACAATGCAAATGATCTCTTGCATAAATTATATGTATAATTAAACAATGCAATTCTAACTATCCTTAAATATTTCTGCCATAGCAATATCTCTTTGATTTTTAATATTTCGCAGTTTCGGATGATTTAAAGTTTACAATTTTATTTTTCATTATATATTTATATATTACACACACACACACACGTGTGTGTGTGTACGTGTGTGTTTTTCTACATATAAATTTTTTTAGAAAATTATTTCATAAGATAATTTGTCTAAAAATGTTAATATAAAGCTATTTGCTCCGATTTCGAACACGTTTCAGGATCGAAAACAGCAATTTGGCCAGGGCAATATAAACAATATATTTTGCGGATATTTCTGACTCTACCTACCACAGTGGGAATGCAGGAGCGTATTTTAAACGGCAGCTGTCGTTGCTCGCCCTCCTTGTCGAATATCTGCAGCTGGTGATTGCTCTTAAGCGAACAGAACCTGCAGAGCTCGGCGAAATTAAGATCCTCGTTCATTGCCATTGTTGTCTCAGAACGACACGCGTAACGTCTGGCGGTCGATTCAGGTGATAGGTTATGCCGTTCAATTTCGCCGCACGCTGGCGATTTAGGAAAAATCCGAGAAATCAGACGGAGGCACGAGATCGGATGGACTCGAGTACGAATTGTAGTGTCGTGCGAATGCTAGAGTCGCGTGAGAATCGATGCAGAAATACGGGGTTGACGTCGGGAAAACCTAAGCCTCACGACCGGAAGAGTCGGACGCGGCCATTTCTGCTCCGTTTTTGTCGTGATCGTCGCTCGCGACGACCGTCCTCGACATAGAGTCTCTAGCTTCTATCCGACACCCGCCACTTTTGAATTCGATATATGAAATTATTTCTGCCTAGAATATAACACGATCGTGTGCTTTTTGGACAAGTGAATAAATACGTACATATTATTACTTTCGCTTTTATATAAAATACTGTCCCGTTCGTACCGATATGTCCACGAAATAGAATAAAATATCTCGTCGGCGAATCGCGTCTCCAAAGTAAAAATGGCGCTCGAAATAAAGCGACGAATAAAGCGACTCTAGAGAGGGATCGCTGCAGCGATTGTCACGTCATCTGTTAAGTGCAACGGACAATAATGCACAAAGTAAATCGCGGCATTTCCGTAATGCACATATGTACGTTGGAATGCGATTGCAATGCTAGAAGTCAACGATGTTGTAAAAATTTGGCGAGGAAAAATTTTTCTTAGTAAAGGTAAAAAGGTAAAAATTCTTCTTAGTAAAGGTATCTTTAATTGAAACTTTAATTCGAAAGATTTTTTACTTTTTGTTGGAAGTCAACGTAACGTTATAAATTATTTAATTTTGCGTTATTTTTGCAAGAATATTCACAGTTATCGCATTTTGTTTTTACACAGTAAATATTATATACATTCATCTATTTGCAAAGTTTCTAGTGGTGATATTATTTACAACATAAAATTGCCTGCTCTACATAAGTACGAAAGCAATATAAAATTCAATTCTAAGAATTTTAAGAATTTATTATAAAAATAAAAGAGATGCTAAAAATACGCATCTTCTCTTGCTAAAGATACACATCTTATTTATATTGCTTAGTCCATTTTATTAAAATTGCGTTTATTATGGCATACGCATCTCAATGATTTTCATATTTCAATTTCGATTCTAGTGATCGAGAACAGTGATTAAACTAATGATTAAACAATGATTAAACTAACAATGCAAATAATACTGATATCACTTAATTCACGCATGTATTATTTAACATATAAAAATAGTATTAATTAGCTACTTCAGAAAATCTTGCGTTGTTTTTGTCGATATTTCCAAATGTATAGAAAATTGAGAAAAAATTCCTCTCTCTCTGTCTAAAATATTTATGTAAAATTTATTCTTATTTATAATACTTTATTATATCTAACACTGAGACCCATGTACCGAATCCTAACGCTAATAATGCGAACAAAAGTATAAGGGAATTTTTCCATAGTCGCCATTTGAAGCTGCCTAAATGATTCTCCCAACATGAGACCGTCTCGATGACAGCTGGGATGCTGAGGCCGAGGATGGAAAAACAAATTGCGCCGACTAGAGAGATAAACAAGTCCAGCTTGGGCACCACTACCGCGACGATCACTGTAAATATCGTAAATATATCGATTATTATATTACAAAATTACATTTAAAGTTAAAAATATATACATAAAATTATTCTTAATTTATCAAAAAAATGTCATTGCTATTATTGTAAGTTTGATGATACTTTTATTGTATGATGCATTACCTTCACTGTATTCTATTATTCGACAAAATTAATGAAGAACGTGTTTATTTGTGTAAGTCAAAAATAATTCTAACAAATATGATATAAAGATACATATTAATTAAATATCAATATTAATTAAGTGGCTAAAAATAAATTGCACATTTTTTGCGATATTTAGACATCTATGACGTCTATAAGTTTCTTGATCTACTGGGTTCTGAGAAAAAGAACTTCGAAGATGGCGGAGAGAAATTAAGTCAAATAGATCAATCCGAACTAGATCAAGTCTATTGCAAACTGACCCGAGCCGAGACAAATATACAGGTAGGCGGTTCCTTTCTCAGTGCGTTTGATAACAAAAAGATGTATCGTGGATATACATGCGCGAAATAAGTGGGTGACATCATTTAAACGGATCTTCGATCAATCTTCTACTGAGAGCACGTGATTCATCGTGATTCGACAATAGTTTCTTTGTCTCGTTGGAATATTGTCGGCAGGTACAAAAAGATCCTATTGTTATGAAAATCTTGCGACTGCCAGGTAGTATATAATTCTTTGTCACAAAGATGAAAACATATTAAAGTTCGTAGGAAAATTACAGAAATATGGAATTGTTTCTTAAGTGCGAATAACATTTGAAAAATGCTCTTTAAGTATTATGACTACTTACATCATGATAGATTATTTACGTCATAATATGGAAACTAATTAATGATAAGATAAAAATTAGAACTATTTTTGTATTGTATGTATACAATGTTAAAAATTATCAATTTTTCTTTCATCTATATGTAATTAATCTATACATTTTTTAGTTAAAAAATCAATAAAAAATATACAATGTGAAGAAGAAAATTTTAAAAGGAATCTATGACAAAAAGGAATCTGAAAAAATACACGGATAAGCTTAATTTATTTTAAATCTTTAACTTCTTTTTACATCGGAATATGAAAGAATATACGAATCGTCGAATATTGTGAGTAACTTGTGTCATGCGTTTTTTGCCAAATTTCTGTTCGTTTACAACATGTGCCACATTCTTTTTTCAATCGCGTAAGGAATTACTTGTGCTTGCGATCAGTCATTTGTATCTAACAATGTCTCTCATTGTGATTTATTTCATATATATTATTGTTCATAAATTCTTCTAAAAATTTCTATTGAATTATCAAGCACTCTAATACAAATTCTAATCATTTGCTTAATCAGCTCAAATTTATTTCTCGGTAATTATTCTATTAAATTTCATCTGCAATCAGAAAAAATCAGAATGAAAACATCTTACCTGTTATTATCACCATTCCTAGCCTCACTAATGTCTCAGTCATGACCGCGTAATTGTGATTGAATATCAAGGGTTTAATGGAATTGCATATGATTTCGAGCGGTACGAAATACTGTAATCCGTATGTAAAGAGAACGGCCGCGGCAATGAGGAGCTTCACTACTTGACCAAGACTGAAATATTGCCCTTTGTTAGTCTACAACACACCATGATGAAATATTTAACAAAAAAGATACAATTTACTCACATTTCCTCAGTGGGTACGTTTAATGTGATGCTGGCCTCTACTGCCTCGCCGTATGTGAGGTAACCGAATATTCCCATCACTGCATACAAAGCTACTACTATTGTCATCGTAATATTAAGTACGCTAGGACATCCCAGGAAATGTTGCGGATTTTTCATATTGTTCGCCACGGGCATGACCTGTGATCGCGATCATGATTAGACTTGAGGATGCGGAAGATGTCAAGAAATGCGATTAAATATATTGATAACATAGAAAACTTTACTTACAACGCCGATACCTTCGATAGCGAATATCACAGTCGCGAAGAAATGGGGCAAGTGCTCGATTGGCGCGGACAGCTTGACATTCTCGACCGATTTAACATTGCTGAAGACGTAGTAGAGCGTGATCCCGAAGCCGGTTATCATGAAGATGTTGGCCAGCATCGAGAACGGTACCAAGTACTTCAGATTCCGCACCTGACCGAGCAGCACCAATGCCGGGATCAATGAGACGATGTACAAACGTACGTCTATATCCCTCCCGGTGCGGAAATCCGTGACCTGATGAGAGAAAACGAGATGCACACCAATGACAGGAAAAATCGGTCGCGCGACTTATGGAAGGGCTCGAGGCAACATTGCGACATAGTTTCACAGAGGGAAAAGATACTTGCATGCTCACAAAAAAAACAGACAGAGCCATTTCTTCAAAGTGCAATGGAGTATTTTTCCTATTAAACATTTTTCTATTAAACTAATGTATCATTTAAGATTTAAGCAATGAAATATTCGTATTTATGAAATTCTATTTATAAATATTTATTCTTAAAATTATTGCTATTCCTACTGTCAATAGATTTGTTTAAATATTTCATGTTACTTTTATTATAATATAATTTGAATTGTGTGACAATCTTTTATCTTCGAAAACAGAAAGATAAAACAAGACGCAATCTAAGAAAATAATAATATAAAGTAAATAAGATAATTTTTTTATTAGATAATTGAAAGAGATAATTAGAAAATAATTTGTGTACTTTGCGATACATTATCAAGTTATGAAAGTAAAAAGAAATTTTGTAATTATGAAATGATCAAACTGAGCAATGATTATATTTAAATAAATAGCAATTATGTTATTTTCTGTCATCAAACATGAATTTCTTAATCATTATATTGATAATATTAATAATTAATTTTAATTAGGAAATGTAATAATTCTCATGTATAGAAAAATTACTCATTCAGTATCGCAATTGTTGGAAATTGTAAAAATCATAAGTCATCAAATTGCCTACGACGACAAATACAAGTGATAATCGATATAAATGATATATTGAAAAATTTCTAATTACTGAAAAAATTTTCTCGTACATATTACTTTACATTTTAAATTGGTATAAGGCAAAATGTATCGATAAATTACGCTCATCATGTAAGAACACGTCTCAGCAAGGACAATATCATGCGATCATAAATTATGCAAGGTGCGTACCTGCTTAAGGGACGTGGCAATGAACACGATGTAGACACACGAACCGCCCACGTACGTCGCGCATAGCGCTACGTTCACAAATATTTTGCTGACGTTCGCCCAGGGCTTGACCGACTTGGGCCCACAGAAGAAGGCCGCGTACGCCGTCTCAGCGTATGTCATCTGCGGCGTCTTAGTACGCCGACAAAGTATGTGAGACGTACGCACTAGTATATGCACGCAATGGGCGCAAATAATGCCGATTACGATTGTGCCGATTCCACCGAACACCAATCCTCCATTCTTTATCGCACTCGGCATGGCCAGGATCCCCGTTCCTAGAGAGGATTTCAAGAGATGAGTTGAAGCGCCTAGATCCCTGAAACGCAAAGCTATGATTTTAATCGGATTTTATTTCAGTACAAGTGCAAAATGCAATTTAATTATAGAAAATTATATATATTGCTAATAGAATTCGAATTAGAAGGAATGAATTTGCATGATACAAATTGTGTGCATTAATATCGTTATATCATAAAATAAATATAATCTTTATATTTATTATTTTATGGGGAAAATTGTCTTAAAAATAATGAATTTTTTCTAAAGATTTTTTCTTATAATTCTAACAATAAATGAAATTTATTGTTATGAATTATAATTATTATATTTCTGTCATTATTATTCGAATGTATTAAGATTATTAAACATGTATAAATTGCGATTTCTTATCGCAATATAGGCAATTTTATATTTTGCCGATAATCAAAGGAAGAGATTATATTCTTAAGATTAAGCAATGAATTTGCACTTTCACATATCCTTAAACATATAGGCGAATATAATTATCATCTAATAATTTGAATGTTCAACAACCACAAAATGTACGGTATTATCAGGAAAAGATATTATTATCAGGAAAAGATACATGTCAATTTGCTGATAAAGGCTTGAGAACGAAACTTACGAAGTTGCATTCCGCTTATCACGATTCTCAAAGGGATCGTACAGTTCATCTTTTTCGTTATATTCATTTATAACAATCGGAGTTATTGTCGTGCTAAAAATAAGGAATATGAATTATTAAATAAAATTAAAGTTTAAAGATGCTTTAAGCAACGAAATAAAAAAGGAGCAATAGAAACATATAAAATTATAAGGATATTAGAAAAATAAATCTAAATCGAGAAAGAGAGATTCCTAATCTTTCTCTCTAACATTTCTTTTCTTTTTTCTTTATTTTTCATTTAATCTTTTGTATTTACACACTATGATCTCTTTTCTATTTATATTATAGTCATAATTAATAATAAAGCTTAGCAATAGATTATTTTTTCTTTCTTTTATTCTTATAATAATAATATTTTTCATAAAACATCATAGAAATATTTATGCAAAGATAGATATTCGATTTCTAGAAGATATTTTTGTCTCGTTATATTGCTTTTTTAGGCTCAATATTGTAATGCATTATATTTTGATAGACAATGCATAATATATAATTGTATATAAGGAGAAAAATATTTCCGGCAAATATTCGCAATCTCATGCGTCAAGTTTGATAACTAATAATTAACACACTTATGGCCGTTTCTAATGTCGCTTAACTTTAATCTTAGCTTAACTCATTCTTCGTCTTTTTCTAAAAAAACAGAAAGAGACGAAGAGTGAGTTTAGCTAAAATTAAAGTTAAATGACGTAGGTAGAAACAGGCACCAATGAGTATTGGAGGGAAAAATCGAGTTTATACAAAACTTATCTTACGTAAACGCGATATGATCGCATTCCATGTCAATTATCATCAATCAATAATGATTACTTTTACAGACATCGCGTATATAGAAATCGTTATCAATTAATGCCGCGAAAATGATAGCTCTATTTATTGAGAAAGTTTTCATCAATTTTGCTTATATTAATCGTTATCATATGATTTGCATAATTTCGACAAAACATCAGTATCGATAAAATTTTTTACAACGTAATCAATGACATATACATTCTAATCAATATTTATATATTTTGTTGCATCGAAGATTAATGAAATAACGAAAGTACCTGCTGCTGAATTCCTTCATATTAGTAGCTGACTCCTTTTTCTCGTTACGACCCATGGTTTTCCTAAGAATAACAATTTGATGTAAAAATTTAGTTTTACAATAATCAAATATTACGATATAAAATATATAGAAGATATAAATTATTACAAAATGTTTCAAAATTATTAAAATGTTAATATATTTAATATGAATAGTTATTTTATATAATTCTAGTTATTATATAATAAACACATTTTAAATTATATGGAAAAATTATATGGAAAAATAAAGTAACATTAAATTTTTTTTTCTATTATATTGTCAATTGTATTAAACTTTATCTAGCTCGATAATCTTACGATTAAAAACAACGTGAATTGTAAACGTATCAAATCAGATGCATCTGATAAACGTCATCGGCTCAAGTATGCTGTTTGAAAACATATTTCTTCGCTATATACACACATTTCATCGTAAATATAAAATATATTATTAAATAAATATTGCTTGAGAATTGTACTGACATAAATTAATACAATCCGCAAAGTTTCTTCAGGAGCGATGAAAACAAACACGTTGATTGTTATTTTGAAAGCAACTTTTTCCTCATGCAATTATCTGATATCATCCACGATAATACACATATTGATTAAATTCTTATGCTTCCTAATTGCGAAAGAATTGCAAGAAAAGAAATGGCATTATGTGCAATATTTATTTAATCGCACAAGAAGTACTAAAATTCTTTTGAGATTAAGAATTGTTTAATCCTATTGCTCTTGTGGTAGTTATGTAATGTCAATATTGAAAGACACTTGAATTAAACAAATCTAGGAATATTTTTGATATTACTTCGTTTGTGATAAGATTAGCACTTTTTAATTAAGTTTTAGATTTATATCACTTTTAATTATCAATTTATATTACTTGGATTCACAATTTTTCAAAAATGTAAAGATTGAACAAACATTGATAAAAAGAATAAATATCAATTTTACTTAATCAGAATCCAGTATAAAAATTTTATATTGTATAAGTGATTATGAATCACTTGAAAGATTACGAAGATTTATCCTGAGTTATGACTCGCAACTTATAAAAATTACTAGCTATTAGCAAATTATAAAATCTCGATTATTATATCAATTTTTATTAAATGTTTCGATTTACTAAGATGTCGATTATGTTAATGAAAATAATGAAGAATTGGAATGTGGAATAAACAATGATTTGATGCGCGCTTATTATCGGCAGAATAATCAGTTATGTAAAAAAAAAACAGATACGATGTTTGTGTATATACGCAATATGTGCAATAAATGAGCGTTATGATGCTTCACCTTGACCAATTTTCTCAAAAGTTTCTCTGACATTTATTTGCCGATAAAAGCTAACACACAATTTAATGGCCGATGACGAAAATTTTTCGCGAATTACGATTCGATGGACAACTCGAACTGAGATTCGCTTGAGAAATTAATGAGAAATAAAAAAGGCAGAGTTGTGCAAGAGAATCTGTTGCACTCGAGATTGTAACCAGTCGATAGCGCGACCAATTTACTTGATCTGCTTTCGCCATTTTACGTAAAAGTGGCAGATAAAATGTCCCAGCATTATGTGAACGGATCTACTGTGATCGCACATTGCGGATGAATTGTAATTTGTAATTGGCAATCCTTGGGGAATCCTTGAATGCGTTTGAACGAGTAGAATAGAAGGATTCGCATAATTGAAAGATTACGTCTCATAAATATTTCAATATAGAAAGGTCACAAAGGACATGCCGAGAATATGTAAAGAAGAGATCCTTATTTACAATTAATGGTGACAATTTAAAATTTTATTTGAAAAAATATATATTAAAAATTACCGAAAAATTTATAATAATATAATTATTATATAATATAATTATAATAACAATTAAAAATCTATGATTAAGTATATAAAAATTCTTTTTTAATGATTTATTTTAATACTTTATAAAACTTTATATATAATACTATAATGTTAATTTTATTAATTACTATAAATTTTACAATAAATTATACTTTGTTTAGCTTCACACATTAATAAAATTACAAAAAGAATAAAAAAAATTTTTCTTCAGTTTATTATACCTCAACATGATACGTGCAGTTAAAAGTATTAATATAGCTATATTAAATTATATTATATATAGCTATAATATATAGCTTAAAAAGTTATATTAATGTTTTTATCTGCATGAGTCATATTAAGATAAAATGTAAAAGTACGTGAATAAATTTTATAACTTATAAATTCTTTATAAATTAGTCAGTAATTAATTTTAACGAACTAGATTAATTCATAGAAGACTTATGATAAGTTATAAATCAAAAATAAGTAAAAGAATAAGTAAATTTTATTAATAAATTAATAAATTGATAAAGAATTAGGCTCTGTTATGTATTAAACAACATCATACAACACTATATACAAGAAAAGATCAATTAAGAGCCACCGCGGATGGTAGTGCGTAAAATTTTTAAAGATTAATAATTCGCGAAAATTAAAACGCGTAACAAGACATGTATATATTTTACTTTATGCATTAACCAAGATATAGATTCTCATTTCCGAGAATACTATAAGATATCTAAATTTTATTATTCTTGAAATGTGATTTTGAAAGAATTTTATTAAATGATATTTTACAGGACAGACTGTAGTTTTTAACTCTTGTATTTTTCGCATTGATTTTCTATAGATCATATAAACTTTTGTAAATAGTTTAATATATAAAATCCCAAAAGTTACATATATACTTTCTATATTCAGATATTAATCATTTAATGAATAATTACTGTCCTATGCCTACATGCGTTTATAGTAAACGATCGTTGTCTTGCGAAAGATCCTATTATTATTAAGGATATTATTTTTACCTTCTATGACAAAAAATTAAGTTGCCTGAAAGTTGAAACTTTCTAACTTTCACAAGTTAGGATTAATTGTACAAAGGATAATATAATATTAATGTAATGTAATGTTACACAAATTTCCTATGAAAAATATCCATCGGTATTGAACGAAAAAAAATTAAAATTTATGATATTTTAATCATTTATTTCGGACAATAATTAACCTTTATGACATAATTATAATTAAAATTAGAATTTGTAAATATTATTTTTAGCGTGCACTGTTTTTATTTTATCGGATTGATCATTCATCATGCTAATTCCAAAGAGCATGTGTACGCGTCGAGTAGAATTAAATCAATGTTAATCTTGTACTTATCAGAATAATCACTCATAGAAGTTGTTATCGCTCAATTCTCTCGTAAATCTGTACTCTTTCTGTCGTAATGCGAACATTCACTTACAGAAGGATCAACTACTGCGCGCCCACTTAATATCTTCGCAAATATTAGCAGGATCTTTGTAGCATTTCATGATTTTAATATATAGCGTAGCAATATTTATGAGACATATATAATGATCTCGCTACATCTTTTTTTAATGAAAAATATTTAGCATATAATCAAAAACTTGAATTATAAATTAGAGATAAAACTCACAATAAAAAATTTTCAAACTGATTTACAAAATATATGCATATATGTAAATTTTACAATTACATTATAATTGTTTTTAAATTAATTTTTTTAGTTCATTTTATTTTATGTAAAAATTTCGTATCGATTACAATACAATTAAAACTTTTAACAAAATTTCATATATTATATTAAAAATTCGATAGAGTATCTTAAGTAAATCGTGTGTATAATTAGAAAAGAATTTACATATTATTTCTTTTATGTATGTTGAGAAGTTATGCGACAAATTGTCATTCATAAGCAGACACGTAGCGCTTAGAATTATTTTTAAAACTATTAAGTTGTTGATAACTTATCAAGAGTTACTTTTTAAATTACTAAGTTATTGATAATTTATCAAGGCTGAAATAATAATACATATATTATCGTGGATATATTTCTTAAATACCATTTATATGCTACATACGAAAATTTTTTTGTCTAGCAATATCTTTATAATTAAAATAAAGTCTGATAATCCATAAATTGAATGTAAATAAATTAATTTTAAATAATTTTAAATAAATTTAAATAAATAAATTTAACGATGTAGATAAATTTTTTAAAAATAATGATGTAGAAAATTTTTTAGAATACGTAACGTGACTTACATATTAAAATCGTACTTACTCTTGTATGTTATGACGTAAATATGTTGAACAACACACTTAACTTACAACGAATGTGAACTTCTTTCCTTGACAATGTTAAAAAACATTAAATTTCCGATTTACATTATTATTCTTGTCAATTCGCTTGTGTTTCAATTCAATTCAACGTTCAATTTAAACACACTATTTGTTTATTTTCTCCAAAGAGTCGTCTATTTTCTTTCTATCTCTTTCTTTCTTCCTCACTTTTCGCGAAACGCAAAGTGCTCGCATGCGCTCTAAAATCGTACGTTCTATTCAAGGTTTCATATTCTTCTGGCTTTTTTTGCTAAGTGCTATGTTTATAATACAACGAGATAATATCTTATCGTTAGATTATAAAGCAATCAGTGGACATATCTCCAGGTATGATTTACGAGATTTCCGGCGAAATCCAAGTAAATTAGACATCCGGTAAATATATTCCGCAAAATGATAATGATCGGATGATTTTTCCTGGCGGTGATTAAAAACTGGACACTGTTTATTATCGATGTCGGGAATCAGCGTTGAGCGCGATTTCTTGTGTCAGAAGTGGAATAATTTAAGATATCGCACAACAAAACGATCCAGATTCATCAAGATGATAGATTTCTCTTTGGCGACGATGACAAATTGTAGTTTTATTATTGAAAATTTTGATTCCAACAATAAATTATTTGATGAGTCATTTAGTGCTCGATGCTTTTAAACACTATTGAAAATTATTGCTAATATTTTCACAATGGAGATATTTTCTTCTCTCAATGAATGTATAATAAATTTATCAATAATCGCGGTCATCCAAAAAATGATGATTCTTCTTCGTCTGATATTCAAATAATCGATGAGTGATGATTCATGAATGAATCGCTGCAGGATATTGGGCTTCTTTGTCCAATGATGGTCCAACAACGAGGTAACGGGACGAGGACGACGATATTGTAGCGAAACAGTAACAGACCGCACACGACTGGGCAAGTTTCTTCAACGTTAGCCAGGTATATATACGAACAGTCAATGTACACGTGAGTGACTACCGAGCATAAGCTTCCTCGCTCGTGCGTATACACCAGGAAGAGAGGGAGTAGATAGCGGCGATCTATATTGTGCTCAATTGGACATTCTTTTGAAATACACACGATAGATTAATAAAAGAAATTAAAGAAATTAAAGAAATTAAAATGTAATTTCAATAAATTCATTTATCAGTATTTTTCATAAATATTATAAATGTATGTGTATACAAAAAATTATTCCATCCAAAATATTCCATTTAAAAAATATTCCATTTAACAATCAATTTGTGTGTGTGTGTGCATTAAAAAATTTAAAAGTCATTTGTCATTCATTTGGAAAGTTTTTTAAATAAGATATTTTTCTCGCTCTAAAGAAGGTTATTGGTTGTTTTATTCAATTCATACTGTTGACAAAACTATTATCAGAATGCAAATTTTCATAAATAGAAAATTGCAAATTGAATGCAAATTTTATAAAATAGAAAAATTGTATGCCAAGTAAAAGAGAGAGAATTAAATAAAGTTTGATGTATAAATTTTCTGAAGATAAAAATGTATATAATATGCGTAAAATAATATTCAAAACATCTCTTTGAAAAATAGAGAATAAATAAATTTCTAATATGCAAAGTAAATATCTCTACTATGCAAAGTAACATTCGAACTCTTTTAAAAATTTATATCTGAATTTTTGTAACGCGATGAATAATCATTTCTTGGAATGAAACAATCGAGATCCGAATTCACCGAAATTATATTCTCGAAATGTACTCGACCATACAATAACGTCGTTTTCTACTTTTATGTTCTTTATCCTTCACCTAAATCTCATGGAATTGTATCCGCTTTTCATTGTGCTTTTATTCTCCTTCAAGCATTAGCACCCGCGTAATTAATTGATAATTACTTAATTACTTAATTAATTAATGACATTTTAAAATGAACGATAAAAACGACGAGCTGCTCGAATCTGAGAATCGTCGACACTTTCGTCAAATCCTGAAGAATACTAAATCACTTATTCGCACACGGGAAATTCCCCTTTCGTAGGAACGTCGGTTATTCGACTGCGATCAACTCGATTCGCGCCTCTGAATCTCGTACATGTTCCCTTTCACCTTATCCTCATCTTCTTTCATTCATAGCACGAGCTCTTTCGCTATCTCTCTTTCGTCTCCTTGCAAGAAGGTCTCTGACGCCCTACCACCTCCTTTCGATCTTTGATTGCTACATTGCAATGCAGTTTCTCATTGTAAGCTGCCGCTCTTGTTTTCACATTGCAAACGACATAAAACCGTCTTGTCACGTGCTTTACGTAAACACTGGCTTAAGCGTAAATTGAAGGTGTCCGGCCGGAATGTAAATGTCACAAGTTTTAGTTTTTACGAGAATAAAAGATCGTCGATATCCATATCAATTATGTAATCATATTTCACGTACTTAGAATCGAGGAAACCAAGTCGTAAATTGACCAATACGCTCGTGTCATGAAAGCAAATTGAGTAAAACATATATTTTTTTTCGCGCGAAACATTCCACAGACAAGTCTTAGTCGAAAGAAGGAATAAATAATCTCCGATATACTTTATTTGCTTCATCCTTTTGCTTTGCTGCGTTAAAAACTTCTTTCATGGCTTGTTACGTGATTCTTTGCATTCTCAATATTCAAGTATTTTCAAGCTTTTTCGTGTAATACAGCAGCATCTTTATAGCTTTATATTAATAAAAGTCTGTTAAGTCACAGGCTATCGATCAGCATTCTTCTTGTTTTATCCCACTATATTCTCTAATAATTGACCGTGTGCTTTCTATCGTTCCGAAAATCTGTAAAATAACACAAAATAAAGTAAACAAACACATTGCATTATTCAAATATTACGATACATAAATTAAAAATAAATTTAATGTTTCAAATAAATAATATATCTATATACTGATAATTTAATACAACCGATCAATTGAAATGAGAAAGTATCTAAGTATCTATTGTAAAATAAAATTTAATTTAATTTAATATTAATTTAATTAATTTAATTAATTTAATAATTTGATATTTTTTTCAAGGATAAAGAGTTCGGAGATCTAAATAGATTTTCTAACTTGAAGAAAATGAATTCTAATTATTTAAATAGGAAACTTAAAATAAGATTATATAAATTTCTCAAGGTTTCGCAGAGAATCAAATCCTATGATTATATTTTTTCACGTTTTATTCTCGCTTATTATTTCAGAGAAGAATCGCACCAAGATTAGCAGCCACACGATGAAAATAACAATGTTCTTCGCGAACATCGGCCTCGTGGCTTCCGCCCACTTAGTCGACATTTCGATTAGTATGGGTATCAGCAGCATGATCGTCGATATGCCCAAGGCGGACAACAGGCCCAATAAAGGTACCATTTGGGGCACGGCGATGGCCAGCAGTGCTATGCACCGAAAAGGACAACTTACTTCCTGACAATTACATTCAACATTCGTGTCGTATCGTGACATGCTTACTGGTTCCGATTATGCCGCTTAACCGGAGCGAGGTTTCGTACAACCGATGATATAGCGAACTCTTCGTGACGATTCTCGAGCGAATCATCGGCCACAGCACGCTGATTGGAACGTAGTATGCCAACCCCAAAGTAAACAGCACCGATAAAGAAATGGCTATCTTGACTACCTGTGCCAGGCTGCAATGCATAAGCATAAAACGAGTTTGTAAAGCACTATGAGATTGACCATGAATTTTAATTTTGAAACGAGTCTGCGATCGATAGAAATTATCGTCGGGCGATATTTTGATGCAGGAGATACGTTTAACACTCGCGATATACATTTCGCAAAGCGATTATTATCGTTCATTAAAAGAGATTGATTGATGTTTAAATAGAATTGACGTTACAACTATAGATTTATGTATATAAATTATGCATATAATTTAGATGAAAATAATCTATTATGGTAGTATATATTGCATATATATGTACTATTAAAATTGAAATTATATAATTAAAAAAATACGTAAACTTGATAAATTTGTAATCATTGAATATATAGGTACAGTTAAATCAAGGGAATATTTTGATAACAAAATTATAAAATAAATTACATCATGTTTTAAAATCGCTAGCTACTTACAGATGAGTGTAACCGATTTAATAACTAAAAGATTGAAATGTCTCGATCATGAGCATCACGCGATCGATGTCATAAGTTTAATATAGATTGTGATCAAATAATTCCTAGAAAAGAACAGTAATATGCTTGATATTATTAGATTGTATTTTTTCCTTCTTATCAAAATTCAATGTTTTATGGTAATTTGATAAATTAATATTGCTTAGATCTACGACGGGCAAAGGTAACCCTCAGAATCGTATGTACGTGCAATTTTTTCGGTTGGCTGATTCTTTTTTTATTAAATTCCGCTTGAATTTATTTGAAGGATTCGTCATAGATATCCTCGTTATATGACTTTACAAAATACACAGAATGTATGAAATAAATTATACTAAACAGATACGCTCGAGTCCACGCAAATGTTAAACACATCCTGTTTTATGATCACCGGTTCACACCGGTTACTATTAATTATACAGCTGTCGTTTCAAATAGATGGCATATATTTGTCGATCGTTGAACGGTGATATAAACAGTTTAATCATCTTTGGTAACGAATTTATTCGCAATTTTTAAACGAATGATAAATTTTTCTGAAAGAAAAAACTCGCGCGATGACGTAACTTCTTTAAATAAGTTTCAATTATGAATGAAAAAAGAGAGAGCAGGCAGTTTCTCAACTGGAACATTATAATTGATCAATCAAATAAATGCTTGATATCGTAATATCAATTAAATTCGAGTGAACAGCAATACGAGTGGTTTGCAAGGTAGAAATTAATATACCTACGTTTCTTCCATTGGCAAGTTCTTGATGACGGTGTCGCAGGCATTCGGATACTTGTTGTAACCGGAAAAACCAAAAATCAGGTATATAACGGTGTTTAGCAATGTGCTGCCAACAATTAGGTGTGGCATATGATCGGGATGTTTCATCGTATTTTCCAATGGCAGATAAAGGGTCATATTATGTAAAGCGAATAGAAAAATAGTGCAATACATGGGCACAGGAAGAATTTCCGTCAAAACGTTTAATCTACGAGGATCCGGAACATCGTCGAAAAAATAATAGAATGCGATGCAGATACCGAGGCTCAAGAAGAGAGTGCCAATAATGGAGAACGGCGCTAAATATTTCAGGTTCGGCACGAAACCCAGAGCACAGGTGAACGGGAAAAAAATGACGATGTAAACTCGTGGATTCATCTCGAAGTTTGAGAAAAATTCAATCACCTGGAAATATCGAACATTATTCATCTCGAAGTAATTTATTGTCTTCAAATTAGATATCTATGAGAGATTAAAAAACGAGATAGAATTCTCTTTATCAAATGAAACAATAATGTAAGTAATCACAATTTCTCGTAGATAGATTTCTTACGTATTTTTCCAATTTACAATCTTGTTTTTGTTATGATAAAAAAAGCTAACACAGATAATATGGAATCTGTTAATAAAATTCCATCAATTTAGTAATTTACTTAATTAAAACATCTCAATAATTTTTAATTGTAAACCATTGAACGCTTTTATAAAAAATAAACAAGTTGGTACGATATAATTTTGTTAAAGATTGAAAAAAATTGAGATTAATTGTAAATATGTGGAATTGGAAATATGTCGGATTTTTTATTTATAAAAAATTGTCGAATGAACGCAATTCTTTTACATCCGTTGCCGACATGATAATCATGGCGTTGTTATACCTGTTGGAATGACGTGGCCACGTATAAGATGTATATCACGGCGGCCTGAAAGTGTACGAAGCAAATGATGACGTTGGTAACTACGCCGAATAGCCTGGCGTACTTTCGAATCCTCTCCGGACCTGTCTGGAAGGAGAACTGCGCTGTTTCGGCGAGGTCCAGCATAGGTACGCGATTGCGCCTACATAACACTTGAGAGCACTGCACCTGCAGACCGAAGAGAGAGCCTGTCTATGCATTCGGATGCGAGCAACTTCCTTTCCCTCTATCAGATTATCTCATCGGTGATACGCAAACAATTGAGTCATATTGGAAAGACCAAATGTCATAGATGAAAAAAGAGAGAGAGAGAGGTTTCCTTTTACCTCTTGTTAATTGCTATCGCGTTCCGAATTAGCGATAAAATTTCGAAATAAAAAATTTTTGCCTTCCGCATTAGTTCACGTACGATGATGACGGCCGTGTGAGTGCATAATGCGCCAACAACGATGCCGCAAATGATAGACATCATGTAGCCGGTTCTTCTGAAAGCATGAGGTAGGAAGAGTATTCCGGTGCCGATCGCGCACTTGAGCAGATGAACGAAAGCGGCGAAATCTCTACAACGGTTTTTATTATGAATATTACGAGTGCAATTTTTCTGTTTATTTGACAATATTTTCATAAGCGCAATTATAAAAATAAGATAACGTTTAATCATTCGATACAAACTTGTTAACTTGTTAGAGTTTCACGAGATTCGTCCCGATAAACATTTTTTCAGATAATTTGCCATTCGACGAATCATTTATCATTACTATTCGACGAACATTTGATAAGTTGATTATAAATAATATGTTATCTACTGTATTAAATTTTTGATGTAATTATATAGTATTTGATGTAATTGTATAGTATATGTATGATAGAATCAAATAATGAACTTAATTGAGAACTCGCTGATAATGAGAATAAGAATAAAAGATTTTAAGTAATGTGTCGACAATTTTATTACAACTTTTGTCATAAGTGAAGCTTATTAGGTGATAATATGTCAGCACATGTTGGCGTTTCAAAAATTTACATGTACCTTCCTGTTTGAAAATATGTGACTGAATAATCAGAATAAAGTCTAACCAGGAAATAAACAGAGATAAATCATTCAGAGATATATTATTTCATTTTCAATTATTTCAATAGATTTAAAACCATATTTCCAATTAAAAAACTTTGCCAACTATAGAGAATAAGTTAATATCTTATTCTATATATACTTTGGATTTATACAAAATAAATTTTAATGTTATAGTTTATGTGTTTTAATGTTATAGTTTAGTATGTGGCGAAATCTTTTTTCTAATGTGAAAGATATTCTCTATGGTATGATTGTATTAAAAAAATTATATATATATATATATATATATATATATATATATATAATATTAAAATTTAATAATTTCTTAAGAGATTTGGTTAAATCCGAATTCAATTTGGAGTTTAATTTGATTTAAAACTAATTGTAAGATCGAATAAATCTTTAAAAATCAATGACAGTAGAAAAAAATGTAAAACATACGTACGATGTCAGAGGTGCGGATGGGCGATTGGCGAAAGGATTGTATTCTCCCCCTTGAATCTGTTGATCAGCTTGAGTATCTTCCGCATTTTCCTTCGTTGAGATCTCGGATCTGTTGTTATTTTAGATCGAGAATGTAGATAACACGAAATATATCTTAACAATATAACAAAACCTTTTGAATCATCTCACTTGTCGATCATATCGCGCATTGCCTGGAACTCGACAAGGTCTGTCGTCGTCGTTGAAATTCTTTGATGATGCGAAGCATCCGGATCTCACGTTCGTTCGCGATGTTCTCGGCAAACTGATGATAATAAATTATCTATTAACCTGTTTGCATTCAAAATTATTAACACCTTTCCTAGTTTAGAAAACTGCTTAACAAAAACAGTATTTAATTCGGCAGAAAACGCGTACACTTCGTCAAGAAAAAAGCGGTCATTCAAAGAAAATTCATTGAAAAATAATATTACAATTGGTAAAATTATTTGGTAATCGCGAATAATCTTGACATTTGCATTCAAGAGATATTAAGTTTTCTCGATATCGATTAAAATCGCTTGCATTCCCTGAAACTAGGTAAAAAAGCTAAAGTACGTCACATATGTCTGAATTTACACGCGAAGAAATAATAAAATGCTTGTTTTCTTAGTCAAGTTTTTGCGCGAGAATTTCAATAAGGATTTTAGAGATTTTAAATGTGTAAAAAACAAAGTCTTTTAAGAATTGAGTTCTTTCGTAATAAAGCAAAACACATTCTTTGCATGACAATCAATGCTATGCTCATCATTTAACACGACAGTGGGATAATATTGTCGCATTGAGCTCTATTATTATTACGGAATATAATTGTTGTTTCAACAATAATATTGTGGGACAAAGAATTATGTCTGTTACGGGCATAATTCTTCGTACATTACATAATATTGCCTCGGCTTCTCTATCGCGTTAAGTTTAAAATATCTTAATGCTATCGTATTCATGCAGCACAAACATATAATTATAATGTATTTTTATATTTACAAGAATTACTTATAAAATCAAGAATAAAAGTAAAAAGTATCTGCCGCTTAAAAATTTACAACGGATCAATACGTGTACTAAATAATTAATTATTTAAATAATTGTATTGTATCTTGCATTTATAATCAGGGGTTTTTAATTGTGTTAAACACAGAAAATGTATCATTTGTCACTTGTAATTATATAACTATCAAAAATTGTTTCGAGTCTGTGCTGACGCCTCAATAAGATAGAAAAAATAAAATTTCAAATAAATTTTATTATTATCATATTGGCAATTTTTTTCTATTGGAAGTAGTACTACATATTCTCCGATACATTCTTGATCAATCAATAAAAATGAGCCAAGGCATAACTTTTGATATTAAAATATGTATAAATATAAATAAGGCTTAAATATATATGCAATTAATCAATAATTAATTAATTTTAATTAATTAATTTAAAAAAATATGTAATAATATTATATAATATGCAATAAAATTAGATATATATGTAATAAGATTAATATCAAAATTATCGCTAAATTATATATCATATCTAAACCTGTCATATTTCATTGAAAGGTTTCACTATATTCTCTCAATTCAGATAACTAATGATTATATCGCAAGCGATAAAATACCGATTTCTTAATTTCTATGATGAAATATAATGTGTCTTACTGCAGAACTGTTCTTTTGCAATCGTTTTTTTTGCAATGATCTGTCAAATTTCTAAGAATTGCATGATTGCATAATTAATATATAATTGGATACTAATAAATAAATAAATATCTTTAGGTAATTTCATTTTATTAATAGGATCACATTATCGCAGATTCGTTATAGATAATTTATTTACATTAGAGCTATTTAAATAAATCGCGACGTCGTCTATGTACAAATATGTCGGTATGTGTGTATATATATCCGTAAAACAATTAATAATTCTATAATGATAAGACATACATATATCTAGACACTAGATAAAATATAATACAGTTGACAGCGCTTTGCTTTAATAACTATCGGATCGGGAGGCTGCTGTACCGGTGCAGCCGATTATACTTTTTCTCGATATTACGCTTGTTAATTAAAGGTATAAAAATAATAGCCTCCAGTCAGCAGCGCGCATACTGATACGAGCATCAGAGTCCACCGACTGTACGAATAACAATAATATCTGAGCATTCGCGGCGTTACAAACCCTCATACGAAAAAGAAGATAAAGAAAAAGAGCAAGAATGCGCATTAATCTTTTTGTTCATTTCGCCGCGCGTAAAAATGGATTAGGCTAATAAAATAAGTAGAGTCCATCAGTCCTGTGGTTTGCATCTTAAACTATATGTTAATCACATGTTTCGTAGTTTATTTATAACTAGGATCACAGGCTCTGTCTGTGATTATAATATTCAGTGTTCACAACAATTGTCATTGTTAGATATAAATAATTAAATTAGTTATTTCTTGAGAAGCGAGGAACTGTGTACATATTTTCCCGGAGTCGCGAGCTACACGAATTAAAATGCGATTCCGATGAATAGTTAATTTATAATCAACTCCGACGAGCCTCAACTTCCCTATGACGAATATAGATCAACATCGCTCACTCTTATCACTCTTGACTATAATATACATTATGCGAACGAACAACGCGAATAAACAGCGGAATTAAATATAAACCTTCTTAATGTACCGCGCGATGCACGAGTGAATCGGACGGAACATAAATCGAACGTCTTTCAGTAGATATTCGCTGTTCGTGTCTTCAATGTATATCTATCAATGTATATCCGTTAATTATATCTTGCGGACGAGCGCACGATAATTAATATTTAAATGTGATATGTATTATATTCGAAAGAGAGTGCGAAGTACACTCGATATATTTCCAAACTCGATAAATTTCAATATCTCCTTCATTTTCTGAATTTCAATTTTTTAATCCGTCTATAGTATATACCTATAGTATTCAAACAATGCTTCTCGTCAATTAAAGTCGACAGATATATATTCATATTGATACAATATTAATACACACAATAAATAAGAAGACAATCATATATAACACAAATTGAAGATACAAATACTAAATGGAATATAAAATTGTAGTTTGAATATGGAATGTGAATTATAGACTCTGGTATTCTCTGTTGCGAGTTAATTAATTTGATTAGATCTTTGCACATACTGAATACTAACAACACTTTTGCACAGATGCAATGAGAATATTTATGTTAAAGACCTAATAATATCCAATATTGTGAAAAATACATGAAAATAATGATATATAAAAAAATAGATACAAAATAACAGAATTGCAGAGTACTGTTACTAAATATGAACCAAGTAATTGAAAGTTTGATTAACAAACTCATTCTTGATATTGGTTAAGTAAGCCAAGTTCTTCATTTATAAATGATATTAAAAAATAATATCAAATAACATAAAAAAAATATCAAAATGAATAGACACAAGCATTTGGCATTGCTTTTACTAATATATACAACTCTAAGATATTCAAAAAAATTTTTCTTGATTTGAATTAGTACATATCTTTCAATAAGTTAGCTGTATATTTCACATAATTACGAGAAATCTGAATAGAGTAAAAATAATATATATTTTTGTAGACTCTCGTTAAAAGATGTGAAATGATTTTTGATTACATCTCTGCATTTTTCTATAAATAAATGTGATATATTTATACAAATTCGAAATTTTGACTATATCTCTATATCGCCAGTGAGAACGTAGCATGAATCTTTTTATAATCATTAACTATATCAGTTATATTCGTTATAAATTGATGTACATTCGCCAAACAAGTCGATATATTACTTTTGATTAGACAAAATTACTAAAGAATGTTTTTCATGTTACAAAGATGTATGAAATGCTTCTAAATGCAACTTGAGAAAGATATATGATAAATTCTGTAGCGAGAAATAGTATTACATAATATATTTCCATTTAAAAACATATTGTCCTGTTGTGGATTTTTTCATTTAGAATCACTATAGAAGATTTAAAAAAAATCATTCGATATTAAAAAGGCACAGAATATGGATCGTTAAGAATGCGAATGTCATTCTTTTAGCGTGTCGTATTTTCTAAATAAGTATGTGTCTACATCTTATTATTTCTACATTCGCATATTCATCACGGTAATGGATAGATCGCGTGTATGCAGAGTCAATTATCCAACATAAAATAATAAAAAGAAGCAAGAGCAACTTGCTCGCTACGCGCCTCATCTATTCGCGCCCTATTTATTTCGTAAAACCGACGACGCAAGGTTAACGATTATGCGTCACTTATTCCTCGCTGGAAATCGGATGACATTCGAGAGAGTCGCACTCGGCTAGGGCTTCACCGCGTCGCAAAGGAAATTCATCCGTTAACAAGCTCTCCGGTACTGTAGCCGCCGAGTCAATACTGTCGAAATAACGATGAGGCCACGCGGCGCTTGTACGGAAGCGTCTGGTGGGTGAACCGATTATGAATTCCACTCGCGTGGAACCGGTGACTGATGATGTCTCTTGATTCAGCGAGTCCGGATAGAGCGATGAATCACTGTGCCGGAAACTGCTGTTGGTCGAGCACCAGGAACTTGGTGGTTCGGTGCAGCTCTGAAAGATGCGTATTAATTAGTTTAATCAGACGAATGAAACGCACCTTCTATATAAGCGAAACAATTTTCCTGCCAAGACTGCAATCCGCGTCGTCTTGAAAGTGCATGTGACAAAGATAAATTTTATATTAATACCCAAGAATTTGGAACAGCCAGTAGAACAATGTCAATTCTACGTGTACAGAAAATTATAGTTATAAGACGATAACAATCTACAATTAACACTGATACCACTGTCTGTTTTAATGCTGAGGTATCAAAATGTCATCCTATTTTTATAAAAACATGTCGTATGGGCCAAAGTAAAAATCTCATATGAAGCAGCTTTACTACTTGACGATTCGAATTCAATCAAATTGTAAAAATATTAACGCACGTAAGAATCGTAATAAATCAAGAGAGCGTCTCATGAAATTGTATTTACGAATGTACGGACGAATCGTAAAGAATCATAAAGCATCGTTTCGCACGCGGTATTGCTGGATATGAGATGGACAATGAACCGCAAGGCCAAGCAGGTAAGCGTGTGCTCGATTCATTTTCCCTCAAAATCGCGCTGTACGATTGTAGTAGATTGCGTCTGCGACGACTCTCTCGGGCTTTCACATCCGCATACAAGCAACGCTAGCAAATAAGATCAAACTTCAGCAAACGAAAAGAGCAAACCAACTGAACACACAAACGTATGTTTGAAAGAGAAGGAAGGATGGGACTCGCTGACGCGAGGTGAATGCTTATGACGATCGGAAAGATGCGTGCTAAACGAAACATTATCTCTCGTCTTTATGTGAGAATAACAAATACTTGAAAATATGACGGAATCAAGGGCAGTGTCGAGGTAAATTGAACACATATGTTGGATCGAGCGTGTATGGTTGTGTGCGTCTTTATGGACGAAAGGCAATTTGGAATTATCTAAACGTGCCTAGAATATCTCTTAGTTTTATCGAGCGGTCGGTTTTACTTCAATCAAATTTTACCGATAGAAGCTTGTGTTTATTGCAACGAATGCAAAGACTTTAAATATTTCACGATTGACTGCGCATGCATGGGTTTCACAAATAAACGATTGAAAGAAGATAGAAAGCAGTAAAATTCAATGAGTAATATAATAACCATAATAACCCTTTATAATCAAATGCGATATATACTGATATAAAATATCGTATATTTATTTTATTTTACGTTAATTTCCAAGATTTTTGCTACGGATTGTTAAAACTTGCTTTTAAAAGTACTTAGAGAGACTAGAAAACTAAAAATATATTAGTTTCCATTACATACTTTAGTCTAGATTCAATATCTATGGAATTAGCATTCTTCTTTGAAAGAAAACAATAAAGATAAGAAAAGATAGGAAATTAAGATAAGAATTTTTAAATATTGAACTTATTTCACGATAACAGACTAACACGATTGATAGTCTGTTTATATTAACTCTACGTTCAGACAAAATCTTAGCGTATTAAAAAATTGTCATTATACATTCCGAAAGCTCAAAAAACTCTCATGTAATAAATATTCGAGAGCATAAGCATTTTTTACCAATACTCACCTGAGAGATTTAACTACAGGTATGTGCGCATGCTAAAATCCAGGTGAGGACGTTCAAACTATATACTCTATTGGTGTAAGCTAGGATATATGAAAGTGGATTGAAAACAGAGGCTGCAGTTCACCACATCCAAAAGAGAAGCATCGAAGCAAATGATAATAAAAGAAGCATAACTTACGAGAAAAAACCGGTGGCACGCGAGAAGGGGCCATTTTCTTTCTTTATTGGACCGCCGGGGACGGGCTCGAACGCACGCTCGCCTGCCCTCCAGGTCAGACTGATTTTGGTATGGTGGACGGTCGGGCGGGCAATTGATGGTTTTAATACAAGAATCTCGGTCGATTCGCTCGCTCGAGTCTCTGCACGTATTGTTAGAGATGTGTTTTTCAGGAACATTGGTTTACTAGGCAAAGATAGTGGCAGGTTCTCAGCGAAAACAGAAAAATTCCGTTCTTGTATGATCGTATATTGGCGGTACCGTATCTCGAAGTCCATGGTAGAGTTAGGAGAATAGAACAAGGATGTAGTGAAAAAAGACGCCGTGGGAAAAATGACAATGTTGCATACGTATGTCTATATTATTGTAGGAAATCGGATCAGATATATCCTCGGTAAAAGCATGTATTTTCTCAGTATCACCGGTTGATAAAATCATAGTTATTGTAGTGACGATTGTTTTACACGATGTGACGTAACAATAATGACAGTAACAATGATCGTCATAATGGCGAAAAGTACTGAAGTAAGACAAAAAAAGAATGTGATGAAAGGGATTTATCGTTTAGTAGAAATGATGACAGAGTAGAAAATAGATAGTCAATGAGAGGTACGCCGTTTAGTCTGTGCCGTTTAGTCTAGCCAAACTTTGATGAACTTAAAATCCAGACCGAGAGAGATGGAATTCTATCAGAAAGGAATAACGGTTTTTAGATCTTGCTACAAAGGCAAGACAATGGTTTTCGAAGGAAACTGTTAGAGACCGTGTTTATGTCTAAGAGGGGGAAAGAGAAAGAGCAACTATGGCCTGTCGTTCATAGGAAGAGAAGGCTTGCCGGGAGGTTACTATACCGGGAGGGTACTATACCGGGCCGTTGGACAACGGTGACTTCAGCCAGCTGCTCCAAAAGAATTGTTTTACAGGTCGTACCTTGCCGTTCTCAGACGCATCGACAGACGTCGCCGCGCGCGCCAGGCTGTGGGAACGGCGCGCGGGAGCGGGCGGTCGTCGGGGAGGGACGTTAGTCGTAGGTGAGGATGTTCCGAGGTTGTTAGATTCCAATGAGTCACGAGCACGGGATAGCGAGGAAGATTTATTTAGGGAATCTCGACTGGAATTGTTACGAGGCAGGGATCGGTTGTTCAGGGATGACTCCCGATTAGCTTCCTTATTGCCGCCGCCGCCGCCGCTGCCGCCGCCACCATTACTGCCGCTGCTTCCGTTGCCGCCGTTCTTGGACAGACTTCTATTGCCGAGCGAATCCCGACTAGAGTCGCGCGCTTTCGATAACGATTTGCCGCCGCTGTGGCTGTCGCGACTAGAATCACGCGGCGGTCTCGTCAGCGATTTGAGCGATTCCCTGCTGTCGTTCCTGCCGTGACTAGGTCGCGGTGGCGCGATTGTAGTCGCGCTCGTCGTAGGCGTCGTCGACGTTGTCTTGCCACTCGCGCTGCCAGGTAAAGGTATACGACTAGGACGCCGTCGTGGCGACGGTTTGATCTCTACCGGCTGATGATGGTCTCGCGCGGATTCTGTACTGCTGCCAGGTTCGACGCCGCTCTGCTCGCACCTGGGTTGTTCCAGATCCGCTTCGGGCTCGACTTCCGTCGGTGGTCGTTGCTGAAGGCGTTCCAACACGCGGACTCGTGCCCGCGTGCCTTCTAGTTCGATGTTTCGTTCTTCCAACTAAAAACATATTATAATAGTGGATGGAACGTTCTTGAAAGAGAATATTTGAAAATTTACAATGATTTTTTTCTGCTATATAATTGGAATGTAATTTACCTGAAACCGTAAATCGTCGTTTTCCTCGCGCGCTTTGTCTAATCGTTCGGAGAGCGTTTCCGTACTTTTCTCCACTTCGTCTAATCTTTTTTGTAAGACCTAAAAACGAATATAAATTATCGATAAATTAATTAGACGAAACTTATCCTTTCAACTCTTGCAAATAAATTAGAAGAACAGAAAATATTGATCTACCTGATTATGGACGGTAGTAGTAATTAGATGCCGCTGAAGCTCGAGAGGCGAATGCTCACGAAGAATGGCCGCGATTTTTTTTGAATCTACATCCTTCACGTGAGCCACCCTGGTGGGTGATACTAGGATGGAATCCAGCGCTCCCAACCTGGCACGCCTCTCATTCACGTTAGCTTCAATATCGATCTCGATATTGCGCGGCTCATCGTTGCACCCGACAACGTCTAGTAGCACATTCTTCTCAATAGTCCTCGTGCGGAAGCGACTCTTATAAGCTTTGCTTCCAGGACTACCAGTGACCGACGCAAATGCCGAGCTTTTGCTTTTGATATTAACGTTGGCATTCTTCGGCGAAGAAATCACCGGCACGATCGGTTGCAGTCTCTGAACACCCGGCACCAAGATCTCCGAAGTATTTTCAATTAGTCGCAGCCGATCCTCCAGTCCAGTTTTCAATGCTGACAAATCGGCTAATTCCGCTTGCAGTTCCTGAGCTCTGACGCGACTCGATATCGTCTCTGCTTCGAGTTCGGCTACCTTGTCCAACAATTGTTCTTTTTCCCGCCTGAGCGCTATCACCTGGGGATCTCTGCTATCTTGCTGCTGTTGCTCATCGACAATGATATTGTTATCGCGAACGATTGTTCTATCGGCGTCGAGTCCAGTGATATTTCTCACGGCCTCAAGTACGTCCGTTGACGCCAGTTCCTCCGTCGCCACACTTTCCAGACGACCTTGAAGGCACTCGACCTCTTCCCGCAGCCGGATCCCCTTGCGATGGATTACATCTAGTAGATTCCAGAGTTCGTCCTCCGCCTCGTCCAACGGACTTGGTCGGGGACTGCTCGCCCGCGGTGCGATCGCCGTTGAGGCACTGTCTTTCGACGAGGTCTCCGTGCTGAAGCCGGAATCTTGAACAGTCGCGCTACAGTTGTTCTTGGTACCGCCGCTGTGCGAGTTGCTGCGACTCCTAGGCAGCGATGAGGAGGATTCGCCTCCTCCTCCACTGCCGCCGCCGCCGCCGCTTCCGTTGCTGCCAGCCTCGCGCGTCACTCGCCGTCTTATCTTGCCGGGTTCCCATTCGCCGATCCTTCGCGAGGATGGACTCGACAGCGGCAGAGGAATGTGCGAGCTCTGGGTGCACGTGGACGACATCACGGACGCACCCGCGGACGCCGTCGCGGCCATCTTGTGCCGGAGGTTTGGGAACGTCTCGATGACGAGGTCCCGGAACTCGAGCAGGGCACCGACTTCATTCTGCAATTCCTGCAGGGCCACCAAAGACTTGGCTTGCTCGTTGATCAAGTAATGGAACGGACCGGGACGCAGGGGCATGCAATCCATGCCACCGACGCCGCTATTGCTGCCGACGCCGTTACCGGCACCGACGCTCACCACGACACCCTCCGTCGAACCACCACCCCCGCTGCTGCCGCTGCCGCACTGCTGCAACAATAGAGGAGAGATCCACTTAGTAAACTGCTCGTATAATTTAAAATAGAAATGAACGAATCAGACTAAAATTTTTTAAAATTTACAATTCCCGACTGTGTTCACTTTATAATTTTATATAATTATAAGAATCAATATATAATAGCAGAAGAGATATTAAGATATACATGGGGAAATACACGACAATTATAAAGAGAAATTATAAAGAGAATTCTAACACAAATTGTAGCTCAAGTCTGACTTAATTATTTTAATAGGCGAAGAATAATTGAATATGTATTATTATTGTAATATTTGCAAATTCTGTATTTCTTATTATTATAACAATATTTGTAAATTCTTATAATGCTTTTATAATATTAATTTATAAACTTGAATACAAGTAAATTATACATACATATTTATTTTTCATATAAGAAGAAAAAATCATATTTTTAATTTAAAAATTATTCCTGATAATAATGTAAACCTTATTTTATAAAATTATGAAACTTATAATATTAGACACGATAACTACAAAATATGTTAATGATGTGAAAGAATTTCTAAATTATCTTTAAATTTAGTAATGATAAAATATTTAATAATTAATAATTCCGATTAAAAAGTCCTGAATTTGTGTTTAAATAGACAATGGAACAACTTGTGCTCACTGCTTACTACCCAAGATCTTTTCTGATATAATAAACCTAGTTTTATGAAACGAGGAGTGCGTGGCGGTGAAACCGTACACTTTCCTGCGAAGATAAGACACGCGTTAATTCTACATAAGTAAGGCGCGTTATCCGCAACGGACGTGCTAGTGATCCGCCAAGTCTAGCACATCTCCTTTGGCTCATCGTCAATCTCACCGTCGCATCGGTCGTTCCTTTCCAAGGAACACACCCGCGCACAAACGAACCGTGACAGCAGAAATTACGCCGATAATCGACCTAATTTATCGCATTCGAAAGTGCAATTTCTGCCTCGTTCCCGCGAGAGAGATCAAGCGAGTCCTTCCATTATTCGACAGACATGTCCCGTCCGATATCTCACGCTCGTGACAGACAATATTTTCAATGCCTCACAACACTTTCGCGAGATATACATATTTTTCAAAACCGATGTCACTTCGAACATACTGCATTAAATCGATTACACACAAATCAATCGAAGAATTTCTCATTAAAATTAATATCGAAAGTTTTGCAACGCTGCATTATACTTTGTGATCCTCAGTACTTATTAATTCGATTTACTTGATTTTGCATGCAATAATTATCGGAATAATACATTCAAAGTCACGAGGATTTGCATTGATCAAATTTGCATTTCGAATTGTATAGTTTTCTCATCACGTGCAGTTAAGGATGTTTTGTATGTACAATCCCAGCAAAAAGTAGCTGAAAATCAGTATTGACGAATATCCACTTTTGGTGTATTTTGAATATGAGAAATTATGTGGAATATTACAATTTGAGCTTCTAGCTACAGTGCAGAGATGTATTTTTTAATGCGTTTTTGAAATATTCCGAATTTTGTTAATCGAAATGATTAACTTTTGGTAGAGAATTTCACCTTGTGACAGATACATGACTAACTCATTAAATTATATTTAATATCTTTTTAACCAGTTAGTACTTGTATAATATTATTTGACCAAATATTTCCTCTATATCTAAACTTTTGCAAATTTTAAATAAATTCTGAATATTATTTCCATGTGTTTTCGTCATTTGAATCGACGTGGTTATACGTTTCCCATAAGAACACATGTTAATTCGGTGCAAATTGAAATCCTTATAACTTGTGAACGATTTAGTGAATCGATTTAAAAATTGTACTGAAGATTCTAAACATATGTAAGGACATTCTGTACAATTTTCATTAAATTCTCAATATTTTGAAAATAGGTACAAAACATCCTTAAGCAAGCATCGGTATCGTTGATTTTCTTTTGAAAAAATACTTTATAATTTTATTTTATATTTTATAATTTTATTAAAATTATCGGATTTTATTTCAAATTTCTAGAACACGTGAAGACTTAGAAAATTTGCATGTGTACAGAAATTATAGCGTTCGCATGAAGAGATAATGAACTATGTGTGTTGTATTGTGAAACAATACTCAGACTCCTAAGAGGTTGTTTCCATATAGAAACTACTGCTCTCGACGTAGCTAGAATAAAGCAAAGAGAATCGAGTTATTGAGGTCTAATATCCGTTCGTTTCTCTTGCAATGCAAAGAGGTTGTTTTCACGATCCGATTGCACCGAAATGCACTTATGGGATAGGAGCGAATGAGATAATTATATCGATTACTGAGAGATGCGCATCCTTATTTTCACTGGAGCATCAGCGATAATGGAAATTCATACGACGGGAACAACCGATCGCCATTAATTATAAACGGACCCGGTAATTGCATCGGTCATGAAGAACTTTGCTTAACGATTCGAATTTAGGCCGATGTATCTAACGACATGGCGTAATAATATTCTTCCTCTCGATTCCAATACTTTCACCGGTTGTATCTTTAACGAGAAAACGTTACGTTAACGAGCAGTAATTGCATTAGATCGAGTACGTCTGTGAGTTGGTTGCATTTTTTTTTTAATATGTCAGTTGCAAATTCGATTTCGACGACTGACCGCGCATCTTCCTTTGTAAAGATATATACGAACAAAAAGATACAACATCTAGAGAGATACAGCTGCATAGATAATCTGTCTGAAATCGCATCATCTGGGAAAAAGAGTTTTCATTATTTTCTCTCTTGCGAATCGATCTGCCAAAAGAAATTCGAGCGACATACATTGTTGCATTTATATTTTATAATTATTATATATATTCACAGAAAAGATTTCTAAATAGATTAATAAATTATCGTTGATCAAAGAGAAACACATTACTACATAATCTAATATATAATATAAAATGATATCTAATATTTATATGTAAATATATAGTGCGCGAATATATAAAAATACTCGCAAAATATATATTAGAATATATTTAAAAAATATATATTCAAATTTATTTCACACGTGCGTAGTCATTGATAAGAATATCGAGACAGAGATGTCAAGTCTAGAATTCCGTATGCACTGTCTCTCGCAGAACTCTGCGTTCACTGTGAAAGAAAGTGGAAATCCCCCGTATGGTAGGTATGCACTTCATGCCCGTTATTTTATCGTCGTGTAATTCGCGTCGCACGACGCCGAAGACGCCGGCGCCGATTGTGCGTGATACGCGTTACCGTCGCGCGTCTTTAATGCAGCGTGCGTAGCGTGACTAGTCAAGCGGCAAAGCAACAGGAAAGTACGAGAGAAAACGGGGCTTTTGTGTCAAAGTCTCTCTCAAGTAATATTTCTCTATCAAAGGACAAACGTCGAAGATGAAGAGCGAACATGATCTTTAAATTTTAATATATTCAAGCGATTTATAAATTTAGAATTGGATAATCTATATTATTCTATATTATCTCTATTATTCATTTCTATATATCTATATTATCTATACTACTCAGTTTTATTCTATATTATTATTCTATATTATCTATATGATTCATTTTTATTTATCTACATTATCTATATTATTCATTATGTAAACAAAATTATTTCTCTTACGACTCGATTTTCTTGCAAGAATTGTTATATTTTTTTTACTGTACCACATGTAAATCTTAAAGCCATAAAAAAATGTGTGAAATAATTATATATCCAAATAAAAAGATATCATAAAGACATTTCAACGTTTGTAGGAGATGAAAATTTTTCCCATGTTACTTGTTTAAATAATTACAAAATTTTCACAATGATAATTATGATTCATTAATGTTTGCGCAGAGAAATTTTTCTACCTAGTTAACATTTTTTTATTTGTATGGTCACCTCCGTGCGGTGTTTTAGACAGCACGATGTTGCAACGTGTCACTGGAAGCATAATCCGCCCTAAGCAAGGAAACGAATCTTTATCCATGAACGGATGAATCATATCGGACAGATAATATCGTGTCTCGAAACACCTGGGCTCGTCTATCTCCGATATACTTCCGAGCGGATTCACCTTCGTGTATTTATTCGAGAAACCGGAAGATGTCTGGGAACAAATGATGTTATTATATGCGCTTTAAAACATTCTTAAGTATATTCATTCGATCGAGAATTCGCCACGTATATTCGAATCATGACACAACGATCGTGTATTCAAACAAGTTCGACCACTTATTTATTCGACGCAAATGGAGGACTCCACATGAATTACCTTCGAGTACCTTTCATCACCACAAGAGAGAAGATTGATATATAGTCTGTGAATCACTCTAGTAACATAATTTAGTAACATAAGCACAAACCTCTGATTTTCAATGACTTATAAATCAAAAGTTAACTGAGATATCTTAATTATTTCTCTTACGACTCGATTTAATTTGTTGCAAATGAATTTAATTAATTGAATTTCTAGTCTGTAATTCAAAGAGAGATGGGAACATGCTTTTTTAGATATACTGTATATGTTTTCATCTACAGATAGAATAATTAACGATTAAGATAATATTTATTAAAGTGAATTCATTATTTAAATTAAAGAACCTCATTTTTATTAAAAAAATTTTATTTAAAAAAATGTTGAAAACGATAGTCTAAATTATAAGGAATTAAAAATTTATGATATGATTTAAATGTCACAAAAAAATGACGATTAAATAATAAATCTTTAATATCTTTAACTTATAAAATATTATGTACTATTATAGTATAGTTTTTAGTATAAATTCAATTTTAATTTATTGTGCATTTGTAATAAATCAGAATTTCCATTTTTCTTTCGTAAAGCTTCCTGACTAAGATTTAATCAAGAAAATTAACGTTTCATGCCATAGTTGCAAATCACTCTACATTCAATGTCTTGGATAACGGGCCAGCGATCTTTTGATTTGAAAGATCGATTCTCTCCTTTCGGATTGAAGGCTGTTCGCAGCACGGCCTCCGCATTTTCCGTTCACCCACA